AACTGTTAGTAACATGCTCCATGCTGCTCGAAGGTTGTCTTGAAGATTGTGCAGTCCGGTGCTCGTGGCAGGAAAGAAATCGATTTCCTCAAGGTTCTCCTCTCCTCTCTTTGCTAGCAAGCGCCAACACGCTGATTTTGCCGTGGCATGTGTAATGCTTGCCCTCAGGATGCTGTCAATCATCCCTTCCTCTCTCGCTTCGTTCCGAAATTTCACGGGCAAGACGCATTCCTCCGTTGGCATGTGCAGTGACGTGGCGATCAGAACGCGCACGATTGTAGACGATAAATCCGGAGAGAAGCAAGAATGGATCGTGATGGAGAACGCGATCAAGGGGCTTGCGAAACCAGCGATCGCTGTGCGTGTGTTCATGTCCTGCTGCTCCAAGTCTCTCACCCTGCATGCAGGATGTCAAGATAGCCCCCCCCCCCCCCCCCCCCCTCTCCCCCGATTCCATGAATCGTACTTTGCTACAGACTTTGCTACCATTAATTACAATGAATATCGACCCGCCTCAAGATCAGCTGTACGATACACAGGACTAGGCTTGCACGTCGCGTAGAGCCCTCGAATGACTGCCCAACATCAGTTGCTGCAGATCAGCCTGTTGTCGAGGATCGAGATTTGCCCAGTATGAAGACATCTGGGCAAAAGCAGAAGCAATGAGCCCCGCCTGTGAACAGATTGTCACTTGCTTTACCTGAGAAATCTTGTCAAATTGAGTTTCCATGTCTGCTTTGGGAACAACGAATCCCCTGCAATACTTGCGTTTAGTGGGACGGGTCTCCGACCGAGCCTCCGAGATCTTCCACTTGGTCGACTGACAGTTCTTACAATCATCGCACCTCGTGAAACATCCCAGCAGGGCATGCCTGGGGTTGGGAGATTTGTTCTGCGTTTGCCTGTGCCACCAGGCAGAGTGAGCCACCAGCACGCTTCCAGCAGGTGCCGTTAGGATCTGAACGTGCGACAAGTAAGGTGATATGCAGTCAGTGTGTTGGCTCCGTCACGTGCCTGAGCTACTTCAGGCGTGCTAAACTGCTCGATGTTGGGGGGAGAGAAGAATTCGTGGGACCCTGGCAAAAGGGACGATCAACCCTCGGTCCGCTGTCTGCTTTCAACCACTCGAGCACCTGGGTAAAACATGGTGCCGCCATTCTCAGATGTGAAATTGTCCAAGAGCCACAGGACCTGAGCCAGGAGCAGTTCAATGCAGTCTCGCACAACCTCTCTGAAACCTGGAGTCCCAGAGGAAGGTCCGGCCACATTCCGATCTCGATGTCATGGTATGGGTAATCTACCTAGAAGCGGAGTGAAATGACAACCTTTGATCCTCCTACCTACATGCCAGCCAAGTCGCGGGTGATCCATCTTCGGCAGCAGTGTGTTGCTGGACCAGGTTGCACATCGAGCGTAACGACCGAGGTAACTTCGGACAAGGAACTACTTTCATCGTCAGAGTCAACAAGGGAGGCATTGAGCATGACCAGGATCACAGGGTGCACGAGGAGTTCGCCGAAGAGGGGATGATGGACAGCGACGTCGGGTATCCTGATCTGATAACCGTCGCTCCCACCTGTGCTTCGTTCGAGGATGCCCTGAAGCGCGTCACGAGCATCTTCAGCCTCTGAAGGCTCGAGCACCTGAGAGCCGATGAAAGGTAAGCAAGGGCCACATGCATGTCAATGAGCGACCTCAAGGACCGTGAAACCAGACACTCTCAGCTCATCAAGTTTGCGATAGTGAGCTTCGTCTCTCAGAAGAAACATCGCTCTCAGCCCAGCACTTGCAACCTCGTGTGCGCGCGGCTTTCCCTGTTCGTCGAAGCCCAACAGCAAACCAGCGTCGCTCCTGAAGCTACAAGTGTGCGATCCTAGCAGCTCGTCGTTGATCCACATGATTTCTGCTGTTGAATTCGACTGGCTTCGGTTGCTTTCAACATGCACGAAAACGAAATTGCCTTCAGTCATGCTCAGCACCCTGTCGGAATAAACGTTCTGCAGGGCATGCCTTCCCTCAGGGAACTCTTTCACGCGAAAGGTGGACATAAGATCACAACAGTGCTCCACCAGGGTGACCGAGTCTTGACCCTCCGCCATCTCTTTCATCCCAAGATACTTTCCATCAGTTGTTTCCACGTACAAGTCCATGGCGCCTGGCGCGAACGCGCTGACTGCCTCTCCAGAAGAGAGAGAGATCCCACTGAAGAGGAGGAACGCGACGAGCATGCGCGATGGGTTCTTCCATATGCCGCAAGGCGAGGGCAGGATGCATGGCAGTTTTCGTAGACCGCCTCTGATAATACTCTTCATCCTCTCTCGTGCTGCCCATCCGTTCTTATCATCATCTACATCATCATCATCTACATCGACATCATCATCTACATACACTTCTACGTTCATATCACCATAATCTACATCCCCTCGCCCTCCTCGTCCTTCCCTTCCTCCACAATGACCATGGTCGCAACTTTATTCCCACATCCCCCCACATCCCCAGGGCAAACCCCAACCCACATCCCCGCTCGTGTCCCCGGGAGCGCAGTGGCCGAGAGGACGAGGATGGAGGGGATGGCGGAGGAGACGCTGGAGGAGATGATGGCGGAGATCTCGTCGATCAGGTTCGCCATGTCCTTGCTAGGGCTCTTCTTCCTCTCCCTCTCCCCCGGGCTCTTCATGCTCCCTGCCTCCATCGTCCTGCCTTTGTGCCCTCCAAGCGACCTCAGTGAACCAGGAGGGGATCTGAGCGAGTCCTCTCAGTCTCTGAAGCCTCCTTCGTCTTGCTGGCCCTCTTGGAGATCTTGTTTGTTCTCTGACTAGTTTGCGTCAGGGCGTCGATGGTTCAGTTCATCAGTGGCTTCTCCATCGGTGCAGAGGCTCAGGTATGGCGGAATTTTCAACACCGCAGAACACGCGCTGAAGTTTTGTCCTTGTCAGCTGAACCAGGCTAAGATAGTTTCACGCGTGCAATCGAGTTTGGAGAGGATCGCCAATCTTAGCTCGAATGCGCAGACTATTCTGCCTTCCAGTGTCAGTGAGGTGACCCATTTTCAAAAATGTGATGTACTTTTTTTGACATGGAGTTTGAAGATATTTGAGCGTATTGATCGACCAACTTCATCTCAAAACGTTGATGTGGCTGCTCAGAGCTACGAGCAGTTTGGAACTGGGCTTGATGTAAGGGACTGAAAGACAGGGAAGGTTGTTACCTGATGCGTTTGTTTTCAAGGGAATGGATTCGCGAGTCGCTGAGCTGATGCAGACGGCGCAACAGAGGATAGAGGCATGGAATCGATTGCCCAAGTCACTGGGAGTCGCAGCAAATTCTTTCGCAAAGTTCAGAGCACAGAAATTCCCAACGACTTGCTTGAAATCCAAGAGGCCCCGACTGACCGACGACCCCGATGCTGAGCTGCTGCCGGATTCGAGGAGCGAGATGGCAGCGGCGGTGAGTCAGTCCTGACTCCTCCTCGTGCGGCTCCAGGGACGGTCTGCGCTCACTCTTCCATCAGGTGGCTGGTCGCGTTGTGAAGTTGCAACGGGCGGGAATGAACATGAAGAAGGGGATCTTGGCAGCGCAGATTATGGTGAGCGTTTGCAGCTGTGATGTCTCTTGTAAGGATAGGACATGCAGCAAGCAAAGGACAGCCAGGTGGTCAACGTCGTAGCGGCAGCTGAAGGTGTCATATCCGTCCACCTGGTGAAGGAGGGGGAGATAGTCAGGCAAGGGCAGCCACTGATGACTATCACGGTGACGTTCGAAAGTCACTGAGGAAATTTCATGAAGTGGCTCTGCAGATGAATTCCTTGGTCCATTATGTTTCGGCCCTCAGACGAATCCCCAACATCTCTGTCTTGTTGGAACGGTGAGACAAGTCAGCGGCGTCTAGCTGCATCTTGATCCTCTCAACGAACAGGGCGTCCCCGGCGGACCTTTCCTCCTCCACAACGAACCCCAAGAGGTTCGTTCTTGTCATCGGGGTGCAGGTGATCGGAGAGAGGTTCCCGTGCTCCTGCAGATTCTCACCTGGAGATCTTTCAGGGTGTTTTGACTGCTCGTTTGTCGATTCGGTGAGCATCTCTTCGTTGATGCGGAGATTCTGGTATCTGACCCTGTGGATCCAGTCGATTCCATGCAGAAGACTTCGAGGCCAAGAGCAAGATGGCGGCGGTAGGTACACCCAACACGGGTGCTGCTGGATCGGGTGAGATGCAGATGTGACAACTCTTGCGACTCAAGACATGTCGTGCAGGAACTCCTCGACCCGACTCGTCAAGAGACGGGAACGCGCTCATGTCTGACAACGTGGAAGACATGATGCACATCGACCAGCATGACTCGCACGTGCAGCCTTGTGTTCTCCTTCGCTCCCGTGTGCTGAAAGGTCTCAGGATGGCGGCGACGGAGTTCTTGGCAGCGACAAGGGTCAGTTCAGCAGCGGTACGTCAACAGGAGACCGCACGCCGTGGGAGAGTGACGGTCAATACAGGTACAGGGTTCCTTCGAATGGACGCGATAAGTATCAGCGGGATCACAGAGAGTTTGGGCCCCTGGGACTTGTCCTCCCATGCAATCTTTCGGGCTATCAACCAGGTGGCGTCAGCTCGAAGATGTCTCGTCGTACTCACATTCTGCTGCAGGAAGCCTATGCTGTCTTGCACACCTTGCGTTCAAGGTGCTTCTGACAGTTTCATCGGTCCTCGCTTCCTCACGTGTTGATGTCCAGGAACCGTTCAAGCTCGCAGGAGCAAGTCCTCTCTGACTTTGTCATCTGGCTCTCTCACTTCCGCTCGCTCTTCTCCACCAAGTGCATCTATTGCAAGTATGGCAGTCCACTGCCCTCCTCCTCCCTCCTCCTCCTCTTCCTCCTTCTTCCTCCTCCTTTTCCTCCTCTCCCCGCCCTCTCTCACGAGATCCTCAGGAAAATTCTGATCGCCGATAGCCCGACAGAGGTTGGCAAGCACACGTACTTGCCTTGCGCAGGTTGACTTTCTGTTTGCTTTGAGAAAGACATGACTGGGATGCAGGACGAGATATCGTAACGGGTGCGCCATATCACCCGCAATGCTGCCCTGTGCGAAACTCCATGGACGGATCACAAAGTGCCATGTTTTGATGAGTCGCCGAAGATCGCAAGACAGAGGGAAAGAGAGGGAGAGGAAGGAGAGGAGGAATAGAGCTCGGAGACGGAGGTTGAAGGAGGAAAGAGGAGGGCGCGAGAGGGGGAGGGAGGGAGGAGGACGGGAAAGTAGGAGCAGGTTTGATGGCGCGTTAATGTCTGAATAATACAAAACTAGTGGACTGAAATCAAACAAAGTGAAATGAGACGAACAGGTGGTATCACACCCTGAACTTCATGATTGACCAATCTTGAAATCTTGTTCTTTCGTCTTAAAACTTCTTAGGAGATTCTGAAAGAAAATTCATCATTTTGCCGGCCAAATGGAAGTTTCCAAGTCTGGGTTGCTAATGACCGGAAATTCATAAAAGAAGGGATAGGGAAAATCTGATTAGTGATGGTAAGGTAGCACAATGAATCTCCTCCTGGCTAGCCCAACGAGGAATGAGAGGGCCGAGGAGGGTTCAGTGTTCGAGCAAGATTCTGCTAAGGCTCATCCTCGTCATCGTCCTGCTCTCCCTCCTGCTCTCCTCGCTGACGTGTGAGGAAGTCGGAGTTGTAGGCTGCGGATCTTCCCTGACGAGATGAACAATCGGTTTGAGAAGAAGAGGAAGAAGAAGAGGAGGAAGAGGAGGAGGAAGAGGCGAGGAAGAGAAGGAGGACGAGGAGGACGAGGAGAGGGAGGGAGAAAGGAGGAACCTGTTTGAGCAGATGTCGCTTTGTCTTGGTGTAGACGATCTTCTTCTTGTACCCCAGCTCTCTGCCAGCATCTTCACGGACCGGGGCAGAGAGTGAGAGCATGCGCTACCTTATGACGAGAGACGCGGCATGGATGCCGAAGACGGCGGGCAAGTAAGAGATAGTGCCGTAGTAAGATTTCTTGTACCGCGAGCCTGTCGACTGGTCAAGTACCTTTAACATCATACTCACCCTCACCGTCAGTGACTTTGATTGAATTCGGGTCTGGTTTCTCCGTCGAGAACACGCAGGCAACTCCGCTACAGCAACCAGTGAGCACACACGATATGGGTCAAAACTTCCGCCACCTCAAAATCCCAAACTGCCTGCGCAGTCTCTTTCCTGCCACAAGGTTCCATTGCCATCAGGCTCTCCCGACCTATCCTCCTTGCTCCACTCACGTATGAACTTAGCGAACGGGTCCATGTCAGTCTTCGAGATGTCCGCTAGGTCCACCTGTAGCTACACTTTGACAAGCCCGCCGTGCAACCTTTCAGCTCAGACCTTGGATGGGTCCACCTTGCCGCCAGCTCCCATGGAGCTCACGATCGGCACACAGCTCTTGAGGGCCGCCTGTCAGCTCCGTCAAACCCGTCGAGCTCCATCGCTTGCCTCACATGCATCAGGTGCAACTTTGGCTGGAGGCTGCAGGACGTAGACATGAGGCAGAGAAAGCTTGAGGTGAGGTCACCTGTCGATACAGTCCACGACGTAGTCGAACCCGCCGCTCTCTGAAGCTCGAACGTCAGACGGGAGCAGAGAGCTTGTTCACCAGCATGAGCTGACCGATCAGAGTCAAGCACTCCTCGCATTCTAAGAACTTGGCCAGAGCTGCTTGCAAGTCACTTCGACTCCCCTTGCGTGCAGTCAATATTGTGCCTTCGATCTTGACGGCCGGGTTGACGTCTAGCAGCCTTTCCTTCATCACGTCCACCTGCACGAGGAGGGGCAAGCAAGTGAGGTGTGAACGTGTGAGATAAGAGCTGGTGCCTTGTACTTGTGATGGGTGGAGACAAGCGCACAGAGCTGTCTGTTAACCCATCAACATGACTTTCTCAACTACGCGGAGCAGAGCAAACCTGTTACGATTCGTCGGGTCGACGTCATCTCCGTCTATGATGGTAAGTTTTCCAACTCCTGTCAACCCGACAATCACATCTTGAAGTGATTTATCTTCAAGTCATTTGCTTTCTCCCTTACCTGCTCGAACCAGAAATTCCGCTGCAAAACTGCCGAGCAAACTCAGGTCACTCAAACTAGTACTGTTGTCGAGAGCATCTCACCTTCCAACTCCACCCATTCCAACGACAAGAACATGAGCGTCTTTCAAGTTCTGGATGCCACTATCTCCGATGAGCAGCTTCGCTCTCTCAAGCCAGGCATCTGAGGCTGCTCAGGAGCAACAAGGGTCACTATGCGGAAAAGCGCTGGGCAACTCACTGTCTGTACTTCCTATGTCACTTTTGACTGTGCATGACATGTCACTAGCAGATAAGCAGAGTAACAACATCACCTGTCTTGTTGAGATGATGGACCCTGTCATCGGCAACATGACTGGCAAGGCTGGAAACGCATCAGAACCCAATAAACTTGACATCAAACACTCACCGCTTGTAAATGTAGTACAAGGAGATAGCACCCAAGGTCAGCGAAGCTCCTACTTGCAACTGATGTTGCAATACAGTTGACATGATACTTAGCGATCTGTTGTCACTCTACGATGCTCCAGAATCAGGACTCAGCATGTTTCTGCTCTGAAAGTCACAAACACGAAATAAATTGGCAACCCCCCAACACCCTCAAAGTTCCTCATCTGCTCAGTTTTCTCTTCTTCTCTGATTCTTCTCTGCTTCTCTTCTCTTCTTCTCCTCTGCTTCTCTCCTCTGCTTCTCTCCTCTTCTTCTCTTCTTCTCTTCTTCTCTCTCTTCTCTTCTTCTTCTCTCGCTTCTCTTTTTCTCTTTCTTCTCTTCTTCTCTCTCTTCTCTTCTTCTCTCTCTTCTCTTTCTTCTCTTTCTTCTCTTCTTCTCTCTCTTCTCTTCTTCTCTCTCTTCTCTTTCTTCTCTTTCTTCTCTTCTTCTCTCTCTTCTCTTCTTCTCTCTCTTCTCTTTCTTCTCTTTCTTCTCTTCTTCTCTCTCTTCTCTTCTTCTCTCTCTTCTCTTTCTTCTCTTTCTTCTCTTCTTCTCTCTCTTCTCTTCTTTTCTTCTTCTTCTCTTCTTCTCTTCTTCTCTTCTTCTCTTCTTCTCTTTCTTTTCTTGTCCTCCCTCGCCCTTATCTCTCCGATATCCTCGTGACACAATGCGTCCATTAGACCTTTTTATATTGCTCATACACGGCTTATACCCGCTTATACTCCTCTGTGAGCCGTAAGCAAGAAAATGGAGGAAGTATGAAAGGAACGGGCAGTCGCAGATGGAGAGAGGAAGGGCGAAGGACAAGGAGAGGAGGGAAAAGGTGCAACGACTGTATCCTAGAGTGCTATGAAGATGCAACGACTGTATCCTAGAGTCCCATGAAGATGCAACGACTGTATCCTAGAGCGCCATGGCCGATTGAAAGATTTGATCTAACTTTGTTTCTCTTCCTCTTCTTCTTCTCACCTCCAGAAATGGCGCGCATGGCTCTCGCCCTCTTGACCTGCGTTCTATGTCTGCCCAGCATGGCACAGTGTTTCATCCCCAATGCTCCGAGCAAGGGAGTACTGATGCGGACGGCGAGCTCGTGCCTTGCGAGCATGGTTGACAGAAGAAGAGGAAAGATTCGACCGTATCCGGGAAGAAGTACCTTGCATTGTGAGTCGAAATTGTGTGCAACGATGCTGTTGCCTGGCTCACGAGGGCATGGAAGTTTGCATGCAGTCCAATCCCAACGAGAACGATTCCGGATCCTCAGCTTCTGCAGCAGCTCCCAACGGAATCCCTCCCTGGTGAAGCATGGAATTTCTCTGCAGCACAGTGATCCTACTGGCTTTAGGCTCGTGCCATTCTTGGTGCCGGCTGCGGGAGGAGCGCTCTTTGGGTACGACATCGGAGCATCCAGTGCGGTGAGGGATGACAGTGATGGGTGACCCTGATCACTGAGTTCTGCTTGATAGGTCGTGCGGATTCTCGGCGAGAAACAAACTCTCTTCGGGACTCTGGATCCAGTTCAGCTCGGCCTGGTCGCAAGTGGAAGTTTGTTCGGAGCAGTTGCGGCTTCCGGGGCTCTTATCTTTGTGATCTTGCTTCTCAGATGAAGGTTCTTCTCATGTGACGCTGCTGTTTCAGATCGGGGATAGATACTTCGGTAGAAAGCAGGAGCTAATAGCTTCTGGTTTTCTCTACACGTTGGGAACGGCCCTGCAGGTTCATCGCTGGCTGCTCGTGTGCGACCTCAAGCCATTCCTCCTGTAGGCGGCTTCTTCGAGCTTCGGCATGCTCATCGGTAGTCGAATCCTCTACGGGTTGGGGATCGGAACAGCCATGCATGCAGCCCCTCTTTACATTGCTGAGACGGCACCGTCGGAGCTGCGGTAATGAGAGGATATGAACGTCTCCTTGCTCAAGTGCTTCTCTGTAGTGGCAAGCTCGTATCTCTCAAGGAGGCAGCCATCGTGTTGGGCATCGTTGCTGGCTACGCCACAGGAGCAGCTTTTGGAGATGACGGGTCAAGCGAAATTTTATGGGGGAGCAGAAGACTTAACGTGGACTTGTCAGGGCTTGGAGGAACGTCTTGGCTGCAGCTCTACCAATCGAAGCTGCGATGATTCTAGGTTTTCCATCTCCAAGTATCTCATGCGTTCCTGAGGGTTACAAAAGGAACTACTTTCATCCCCGAATCAGCACGCTGGTTGGCTCTGCGTGGCAGAACTCAAGAAGCGGAGGAAGCAGTCCAAGCTGTAAGAATTCTCAAAATTCTACCAGATTCAAAGTGTTCTCCAGTTGTCCAAAGTGAGTTCAGACGAGGCAAAGATTCAAGTCACTTCCATGGCATCCATGGTTGATCCGAACGAGAAACAACAATCTTTCCAAGAATCATTCTCACGGTCTCTCGTTTTCTTGATGCTTTTTTGATTACCTTTACTCATCCTCCTTCCAGCTTGGTCTCCGACTCAACCAACCGCAAGGCCTTAACCATTGGTGTGGGACTCGTTCTATTTCAGCAGCTCTCGGGACAGGTTAACTGGTTGTTCAAGAGATGTACTTGACTGACTGATCCAAACAGCCTTCAGTCCTCTACTACGCCAACAGGATCTTTGAAAGGGCCGGGCTGGGGTTCGAAGCAGCGGTTGGAGTAGGGCTGTTCAAGGAAGGGAGAGCAGCCATTGAGGAGGAGGAGTGATGATTCCTGCAGGCAATCATGACCCTCTTATCCGTGAACCTTGTTGAAGACCCGAAGTGGGGTCGGAGGCCTTTGCTGCTGCTGGGCACCTCTGGTGGCGGATCCTGTTCTCAGCCGCTTTCCTGACTTTGAGCAGGCATGGCCGTTTCTCTGCTGGTGCTGGCGGCTCTATTTTCAGGAGGAGCGGACTCAATCAATCAAGTGAGCTTCTGCTAGTGCAGCAGTCGCCGTGCTGCCCCTTGAGCTGACTTGGAGCAGTCTGCGGTGATCGCCTCCATCGTTGCATACGTCGGCTGTTACCAGATTGGCTTTGGGCCCATCACGTGAGCCCCAGCTGAGCTTGAATGGCTTAGTGAGTGACACCATCTCTCCCAGCTGGCTAATTCTCTCGGAAGTGTTTCCCCTCAAGATCCGAGCTGCTGCCGTGTCCGTTGGCACCCTTGCAAACTTTGGCTCCAACGTCCTGGTACTGATCCCTTACCCTCATGCTCTCCGAGGCTCGTGCTGACCTACCTCAAGGTCACTCTCGCTTTTGAAAGTGAACGACAGAGTCTCGGAGAGACATTGCTGTTCCTTCAGTTCGCTGCGATCGCAGTCGCTGCCGTTGCTTTTGAATTTAAGATGGTCCCTGAAACTAGGTGGTGACCACCTGCTGTCGCCCAGTCCATACGTCACGGTATCATAGTATGCTGACATGGAACGCAGGGGCTTGACTCTCGAGCAGATCGAGGAGAAGATCCGAGGTGATTGAGTCCTGGCATGTAACTAAGTAGAGTCTCAGTTGTCATCAGTATTAAAAGACTGAGTCCTTTCAGTCCGCGCAAAGTCTGACGTGAGCGGAGGCTCGCGGCCCGGGCCCGGCGCCGGGCCCGGACTCCGTGCCACTTTACTATAATTCTGACACCTTCCAAGACGCCATGCCGCGAGGTTTGTGAATGCTGGTGCGGGCGAAAAGAGGAGAGGAAACATTCATGAGCTAAGTGGACAGCCTTAGAAGATATAAGAAAAGAGGAAGATACTGTGATTGATAGAGTTGTAACACAACATATCCACGAATTGGTCTCATCAGGGACGTCTACCAGCAAATGATGGAGTACTACTCTATCTTGGGTGTTGCAAAGAACGCAACTCAGCAAGAAGTCAAGAAAGCTTATCTACAAGCCGCGCAGAAGTTTCATCCAGACGTTGCTCCTGAGGACCAACGCAAGACAGCGGAGGTTAGGTTCAAGGAAGTGAATGCTGCGTATGAGGTAAATCTCAAGCACGATCATGCGCCTTTGCTTCCCGATTTGACATTGCGAGAAGGTGTTGGGAGATCCGCTGAAGAGGAAGGAGTATGACAGCAGATCTATGTACGGCTATCACTCAGGAATGTCTGCTTCTCAAGCAACGCGTGCTGCTGGGGCATGGCGCAGCAGGAGCGGAGCATCATGGGAGTCGAGCTGGGCACAAGGCCCTCAACCAGGCTACCAGACGTCATGGAGGCGGGGCACCATCACTGGGGCGATGGTGGCGTTTCCTCTTATTGTTTGCTCCATCTTCTTGAGTGGAATGGTGGATTACGCATGGGATCAGATGAACACAGGGAAGAAGCTAAAGCACGTTATGGAGAACCGCAAGTGACACCCTAAGTGACGACAACTCTAGAGAAATGCGCATAGTGACATCATGAAAGCCGAGATGGCGACACTAACATCGAAGAGCCTTGGCATTCACATTGAATACATGCGATCAGCGGAAATTAATTTACATGTGTCGGAAAATTGGGAAGTAGCTTTGATTGCTCCCGCATCTCCTTGAGAAGAGAAGAGGATAGAAATGTCCAAATCCGTCACGGACATCGAATACATCTGCTTCCTTCAATCGCGCAGTTTCCAAATACGCTCGAAAGATCCATGAGCAGTGGCACCTGGGCAGGTTGTCAACGGTGATAGTGAAGTCAACACTTCTCAACCTGTATAAGTGTCTTGACATGAACATGGAGAAGATGGCCTGGTCAAAACGATGGTTCGACTGATCAGCTTTCTTCGGGGCGATACAGTCTTCATCGAGGGCGCATTTGATTGTGCTTCCCAGCACCTCCTGTACTGCACGGCTCGTGTTCATGTACCCCTGAATGCCGCCAGCGCACATATCCTTCCCACGCAAATCGTTGGCCTCGAACCCCAGAAACTGCATGCTCGCAGGATGTATCTTTTCCGGCAAGGTCTTCTCACCCTGCATGACGAAGAAATAACCATCTCTGGCTATGATGTCCTCGATGAGACCGACAGGTTGCCAGAGCTCCTGTCCAGCATCCTATCAAGGGTTCGTCAGAGAGCTCGAGGCTGGAGAAGAGTCTGCAAGACAGACCTGATACAGGATCATCGAATCTCTCATGAGCGCTTCACGATACACCAAGGGCTTCCAAGCATAGTTCCTCAGGTTTCGGACATGCGGAGGGTAGCTTTCAAAGGGGAATCGAACGAGTTGAACATTTTTCCAGTCGCTGACAACCATACTCTCCAGCTCATCGAATCCCATGTCGTAGATAGTGATGTTCAAGTTCGGCTCTCGGAGCTGAATGGATCCAACGAGGTTTGCGAGGCATTGGAAATAAAGAGAATTAGCAGAAGACACCAGCCGCACTTGTTTACCTGCAAACATGATCGTCATGCAACAATAGTGTCCTCTTATAGATTCATTTACCATTGTAGGAGATGTCTGTAACTTTACTCTGCATTCTTTCATGCTGATGAACGAAGCCACCTCGGAGGTGGGATTGTAATATGGCGTTTTGAGACTGCCTCTGCACCTCTTGCACCTCGAGCGGAAAAGGACCAGGTGCTCTCAAAATCCTCTTCAAGATGCTGTTTGCACGCAGATCAAGGGGAGAAACTTGAAGCGCTTTCAAACAATAGGCGATGCTTGCCTTCATCTCCTGTACCTTGAAGTACAAGAAAGCGATGTGGCTGAGCAAGGAAGGAAAGGAGGGCTCTACCTGTTCTACGGCAGAGAACGCAGCATGTGCTGCTCTGAAGTCTCCTTTCTTCATCATCAGTTTCCCCTGTCTGAACACCGCGAAAACATCTTGCGGCATCTTTGCAGCCAAGGCGATGGCATCGTTCAACCTGCCCTCTGCCTCAGCTCGCAGCGACTCTCTCAACAGTCTGGAGCTCTGCGCCGCCTGATCTCGTTCCTGCTCCTTGCTCGTCGAGCATGGCACAAAGTAGCACATGAGCAGCAGCAGCAGCAGCGGCACTGCCGCCCTTCCTCTCCTGCTCATCCTTCTGCCATTGACGCCAACTGAGGCGGAGGGTATGGGGCAGTAAAGTTGTATACGACAAGTTGAGGTAGTTTTCAGCTTGTGCCCCATGGGTTTCCGGGGGCCGAATGCAATGGGCGCAATGTATGCTGGCGACAATGCTCGCAATGGCGGGGGCGGGGGCAGGGGAAGGAGGAGGAGGAGGAGGAGGAGGTAGCATAGCAGGGAGATGCTGCTTCAGAGAAGCTCAGCTCCTGTCGAGCCTATCCGCTGGTCGGTACAGGGACCCTCTGCTGCTGCACATGCGGGGAGGAGGGGGTCTTCCTCGCAAATCTCGAGGCGACTTCTATGACGACCTGAGCTCGATGGATAGCGAAGAGTCAACCGACCCGGCTGGAGAGGGAGGACAGAAGGAGAGGTCAACTGCCTCTGTAGCTGACAAGGAGCAGAAGATCGACGACAGGCTGAAGCTTTCTCCCGCTGCAAAGTTGTTCCTCAACGTGGACGACGGAGATGAAAGCTCGAGTGCCGGCGATGGGAGGGAGGAGCAACTCAATGGAACGCAGGATGCAACGATGGTGAATCAGAGCCGTCTGCTACAGATCTTGTCGGGTCCCAACGACACGGGGGCTCAAGGGCCGGGTACTGGTACCCCTCGCGCGCAATCAATAAACCCACGAAGTTCCTCGGAGCTCTTCGAAGGGATTCAGTCATACTGCAGGGCGAACTCGCTTTCTGATGTGAGTTTGTTCATCTCATTCACTCCCTTCGAACCATCCCTCCACTCTCATATTGCAAGTCTCTACTGTACCTCCCCGTCTCCCGTCTCCATTTCCCATTTTTCTCCTTCCTTACCCGTGCTTGCATCCAGCCCAAAGTTGAGGTTTCTCGCGTCGGACTACCCCACGAACTTATCCAATTCTGCTGCTCGGTCTGGATCAATGGCAGTCGTATGAAACGAAGCGCATCATCCAAGAAAGGAGCTGAGACCCTTACATTGAGCTATGTATACCCATCTAGATCCCATGTCTTCTCCAACCCCTCCCAGCTCCTCCGGTCTCATGTTTCACTTGCTTGCCTCCCCCTTCTCTCTCTCTCTCCTCCCCCCCTTCCCCCCCTCCCCCTCTCTCCCTATCTCCCGCTCTTCTCTCTCCCTCTCCCTTTCCATTCGCGTGTCGAATCTCTCCTCTCACCGTCCCAGCAATCCCCTACAAGACTTCTCCTGCTAATCTGCCCCTTCGTGTCAATTATCCAGTACACTTCCCGTCCTGAGTTCACTTGGCAGGTGCTTGACACCTTGACAGAGGGAGGATATGAGGCTTTCCTCGCTCGTTCTAGTCCAGCAGAAATTCATCACAAGTCCAGTTCCGACGGTTGTTGTTCCTCTTTCCTCCCCCAAGTGACCTGAATGTATATACAGAGTCAAACAACTCGCTGGCAACCTCTCCTCCTCCCGGTCCTGCCGTTGCTCCTCAACCTGCTCTCCCGGCCATCCAATCGCACCGTACTGATCCTGCAATGGTGATTTACTTGGAGATGACTGGGTTGATAGGAGACCAGGTCCGAGTTGAAGTTCCTGTGTCCAGGTCGAAGGTGGGTCTGGTCATAGGAACTCACGGTAAGAATGCGCGACTGCTGTGCCATGAGGTGAAAGTTCGAACAAGCGCAATGCACGTTTGATGATAAGCACAGGCAAAGATGTTGCGATCGCACATCTACATCCCCTCGTGGAGCCCTCAGTCACAAAACAGCAGCAAGGATGCTGAGAATGTGGAGGATGGAGGCGATGACAAGTTGTCGATTGTGATCACTGGGTCCAGGGAATCTGTAGAAAAGCTCAAGGGCAGGGTGAACTACTTCTTGTCCGGTCTTGCTCCTCAGGATCCGCTGTCCTACATCCAGCCCTTCATCTCCCAGACGGGTCAGTCAAAGTCAGGGGAGACCGGCGAAGGTCGGGAGGTTCCACAGGAAGCTCAGCGTCTCCTCCAGCTCGTTGAGAAACTGTCATCCTCTACTGGCCAGAAACAACCGCCCAGCACAGCAGCCCCGCAAGCAAACAGCCAGCAGGCGGAGGTTCTTTCGAGCATGCATGGGCAGCAGCAAGAATTTCAACGAGGGAAGTCGTCGAGCCCAAGGATGAAAACCTCGTTTCCTTCCTACAGGAAGGGGTATCAGCAGGAGAGGAGCAGATATCAGGAGGACAGCAAGCTGCCTTCCAACGCTGTGTACGAGGGTTACCAAGAGTTTGCTACTCCCTCGCAAGAAGCGAGCATGAAGCTCCATGATCCCCAGCTTGCCGCCAGCATTCAATCAGCAGCTGCTGCCAAGATGGCCAGTGTGCCGTACACTGACATATCACCGCAGTACAGCAAGCGGATCTATGGTGCCGATAGCATGGCTTCTCCCCCCAAGACTTTTCATGCCCCTCCTGCTGGAATCGACGATCCCCTCGCAAGGCGAGCAGACATCCATCTGCAGGAGGAGAGCTACAGGCAGGGGAGCGACGTGGTTGGGAGGAGGTATGAGGCCTCGGACCCGGACAAGCGCTACACGTTCAGCAGCATGCATCCCAGCCTCCCTCCGAAAGAGTACTCGTTTGCACGAGGGGAGCAGATCAGACCAGGGGAAGACGTGGCGATGCTCAGAAGCAGGAGCTCTGCCTACCTACAGCAGCAGGAGCTTCAACGAGAAAGTGTTTATCCTCCTCCCAAGGGCCCCAACTCCCAGCTGGTGGATCAGGAGGCCCTGCAGGTCATGTCCTGGAAACTAGACCATGTCACCCAGGGGCTGAACGTGGTGACCAAAGCCATCGGCCACTTATCGTCGAGCCTCCCTCATAGCAAGCACTTGGACGAGAAGGAGATTCTTATGACTACGGAGAAGCATCCACAAGACAGCAGCTACCAGCCACAGGTCCTGATTGTCTACAGGTGAGGGAGGAGGACGAGGACGAGGAAGAGAATGAGGAGGAGGAGGAGGATGGGAGCTTGACCTTGACCTCTGCGAGCAGCGGGGCGTTTCAGATGCATCGCGTCAAGAAAGATCACCAGGAGGCCGAGGAGAGGATGGACGTGCTCATCGGGGAAGGAGGAGTCCTCTCACAGGTGAGCTTTGAGGGCATGGGACAAGAGTGAAGAGAAGAGACTCAAATTCGTCTCAGCATCCGCTGCGCGATCATCTCCTGTGGGAGCAATGGAACTTGGAAGCGCCGATGGCAGACATCCTGCGTGTACACGAGTAAAGTCTTGCTACTCCTTCCCCTTCTCCTCTTCGCCCTCTTTCCTTCTCTTCTTCTTCCTCTCTCCTCCGCTCTCTCCTCTTCTCTTCCTCATCCTCAACATTTGATGACCTCGCGCAGCTGGGAGTATGTGTGCGAGCTACAGGGAAAGTGCTCTACGTTGACTTCGGGGATGGTTGCTGAGCTCGGAGACGGGGTGACTTATCTCTCGGCCTTGGAGTGGTTGACCATGAAGTACAGGAGACGAACATCTGCAGCTCGTCCTTCCATGCTGCCGCCGTCTGTGCAGGAGCAGGTTGCTATGCTGTAGATCGGGTGATGCAGATAGGAGGGCCAAAGAGGGTGTTTGTGCCCTGCCGTCCTCCTGGGCACCATGCTGGACCGTCGGGTCAGGTGGCAGATGATGCAGGGCGCTTGTCTCCCTCCCAGGGGTTTTGCCTGCTCAACTCGGTTGCGATCGCAGCAGCGTATGCGAGGTTGGCGCCGTGAAGCAAGGCTGTCACTGTCAGTCACTCTTTATCTCACAGGTACAATTACAAGGGGATTCTACAGCGAATTGCCATCATAGACTTCGATGCTCATTATGGCGACGGGACGGCTGCCTGCGTCATGAACCTTCGGCCTCGCTATCGGCTGCGTAACGCCGGGTAAACGTGTGACTGAAGAGTCTGCAGTCTGATGTTCCTCCTTTAAGGTTCGGCGTGCAGTTCAGCACTCTATCTTACAAGCCCTGGCTCGACGAGACGGACCCCGAGAACGTGAGCAGTTTGACTGGCCCGACCCCTCCCTCTGACTGCCCGCTAGGTGTTCTTTGCCTCCATCCACTTGCAGGACGACGGGTTCTACCCTGACAGCCGACAAGTAGGGGTGGTGGACGGCAACCCGAACATCTTGTCGATCCCTCTCCCCCGGGGAACCGAATCAAATCGATTCCGAGAGATTGCAGCTAACCAGATGCTCCCCCACCTCGCCGCGTTCCGACCCAACCTCATCTTCCTCTCCTCGGGCTTTGACGGGCATGCTGAGGACGTGCTGGGTAACGACGGAGGGCTGCAGCTGACAGAAGAAGACTTCAAGTGGTTCACGCTTCGGGTTGGCGAGATAGCAGATCGGTACAGTGAGGTACCTTGTATCCTTCCCCTCGCCATCGCCCGTGACAAGTTGCAACGCAGGGGAGAATCATCTCGATGCTCGAGGGAGGATACCACCTGCATCGCACGCCCTTCACAATGGGCGCTAAGCGCATTACTCGCAGCAGCGCCAACAAGAGAACGCCGGGAGCCCTGGCAACCAGTAAGGATGGCAGTGGGTTGCTGCTGCTTGTGTTGACATCCTGTCAGGTGTGCTCGCTCATGTGGTTGGCCTCATGCAGACGACCGTCGACCCGCAGCGCTGAAGGTCGAGCAAGTCAGTCTTCCTTGGGGCCTGCCAGATTAATCTGATTGATTTGAGCTTGTAAATCAACAATCTCTTGCTCCAGTCTCTCACGCTTTGCCTGTGCGAGTGTAAGAGAGTGAGAGGCCAGGGATCGAGACTCACCTTTTCACTAAGAAACTTCCCCTTCCACTCCTCACTTTGACCAACCTTCCTTATGTTAGCATCCAACTGAGCTTGGTAGAAGTTGGTTTCATCTTCGATCTCGCTCAGTCTCTCAGCTTCTTCGTCATACTTCCTCTTAGCCTCCTCGTAATCTTTGCAAAGAATTTCATGCTCCGTCTCCAGGTCGTACATCTGATCAGCATACTCGCCCTCCTCTCGACGCGCGTAAGCGATGGCTGCATCGAGGGCTTCTGAGAGCTCGCGTTCCAACCGCAGGATCTGCATGGACTTGCTGTCGATCTGATATATTTGCTCCATCCTTCTCTCCAGGTGGAAGGCTCGCTTGCGAATGGTGAATCTGTTCTGAAGCCAATGCACCTCCTTTAACTTCTTGACACGGAAGGCGTCGTTGCTCAGCGCGTCCTTTGTCTTGCGCATCTTGAACAACTTCTGCCACCAGATGTCGGCGTAGTGATCACCAGTGATCACCTGGCCCTCGTCACTTGCCTTGTAGTGTAACTTGGCAGGTTTGGAATCCTTCACTTCCTCGGGGTCTGACGTTGGTTTCAAGATGTATGCTGACATGATCTTTGTCATACTGACTAGTCCTTTCAGGGATGAGAGCGCTGCAAGGATAATCATCAGGGGAGCTCTAGCCCACAGCGGCATTCGCAGTTGCGCCTCCACGACCTCAGATATGATACATCTGATAGAAACGACTTGAACGAGAAACTGAGCTGCAATGGTGACCAAAATGATCTTTGTTTCATATGGACCAGGATCATTCCTGCCATTGGTATCATGATACAGCGCGATGTCTATCGGGCTGATCATGCCGAGTAGGAGCAGCAGCATCAAGATCAGGAGCAGGAAATTTTCCAGCAGGTTGTTCCTTTCCAGATTGTAGGGTCTGAAAACGATGTTTAAGATGAAGTTGATGCAAACTGCAAGGAGAGGAAAAAACTTCTGAAGGAAGAGATTGTGCTGTAAAAACACAAGCGACAAGACGAAGATCATCTTTCGGAGGGACACTACCAAGTTCCAGTACCAAAATCTCCTCTCAAACGGATCCAGCAGGAACCCGAACCTAATGCGGAAGCTCGGGTCATCCAACATTCTCAGCCGATGTCCGATGTACAGGAGAACAAAGTTGATGACGGGTCCGAAAACCGTGATGGGAAGTACGATGAGAGCTAGGGAGAACACTGCCGTGTGTTGTGTATCAAACGGTTGCACACTGGGATCTGCATCTAGAAGAGCAATCTTGGATGTCCAGTAAGTCCATTTGAAAGCCTGGCATCACATCAGAAGCGCGCAAACAAGTAGTACTTTACCTCTAGCGTCTTCACAGATCCCATGATGTACAGCAGATTCAAGACTGCCACAGCCTCCCTCCATGCCATGTCAAAGTATTTCTTCCTCATCCTCCAATCTACTGCTGTCGATGGAACCGAGAAGTCGATCCATGAGTTGGGATGTTTCTCTTGCTTTCTGATCATCTTTGGGATATGCGTCTGGTAAACATTATGCACACTGTACTCAGTCCATCCTTCCTTCCGGCGATTCTTTCTCGATGGGGTCTGAACCCAATCAGCTGACGATTCATCGAACGCTTCGATCGGAGTGATCTCATCTGGAACATGCTGGCTGTCCTGGTCCTCTGACCTGCTGATCAGAAACGCTTCTTTCCGAGTCGCCGTCTGCCCATCTTCACCATCCTCGGCCCCACCTTCCGCCTGCTCCATTTCTACATCGCCCTCCTCTCCCTCTCCTTCTCCTTGTCCTTCTCCTTCCCCGTCTTTCTTCTGAGTTGCATGGTCCTCGTAGTTCCTCCTATTGGATTTTCGTGTGAAGACTCTGACCAAGCAATCGAACACTGTTTTCATCTTTGGAGGCAAGATCAGGAATGGCAAGATCCACAACAAGACACGCATGGACACGACGCCGAAGAGAACCAGGTTTGTCAGGATCCACCTCTGAAGAAAGTTGGGCTGCCAGTTGAAGAAGCACATCCAAGGGACGGCCATGATGTTGAGGTTTGAGATGGAGTACAAGCTGAGCAGGGAAAGAACTTGTTGAGGCCAGGCAATGCGGAACTCGACGAGCAGAGCAGCAGTCTGCCAGAAAGTCAACATGATGAAGTAGGAGTTCAAGTCGATGAGGTAGATCCAGATAATCACAAGCACCACAAACGCGTAGCTTGCAAACCAGATCAAGTAGACCAAGAACCCTTCCTTGACATCCACTGGACATTTCTCGCAGAAGTTGTCAAAAGATCGGTAGTAGTGTCCAGTCTGCCACGTGCAGACATCTCCGTTGGAGAGGCAGCGCTGTTGAGCCTCTGAGCAGTTTGCCGCATCAGTGTTGCTCCTACACTCCCCCAGGCTGTAACAGTCTACAATGTCCACGTTCCTTTGCGCGAGCTGCCCCCTGTACTGGGTGAATCGCTTCCAAGAAAACCATCCGTCCGCTGGGTCGGAGCCTCTGGGCACGCATTGCTGCAGTTGGTAAGCAAGGCACTGGCTGCAGATCACCCCGTCATAGCCAGCCTTGCACCTTGCAGGATCCTTGTGTGTGAAGGAGACATTGGTCAGGTTCGGCCAGTTGGGGCAGAAAGCATAGTTCTTTCTGAAATGACAGATATGAAGCTGCTCTTGGAGATCCAGCAAGGGATACCCGAGGCAAACTTCCCTGACGTTCTTGTAGTTGCACTTGTAGAACTGCGGTGTGAGATGGTCTGGCCAAAACACCTTGTCGGGGCTGGACCAGTCAGTCCAGTATGCTATCCTTGTGACGGGGTACAAGTTGAGTCCATGGCAGAACGAGCCGTCCGGGCAGGAAGAGCAGTTAGACCCGAAGAGGTTGAGCTGCACGGGCCATGGGCTCTCGATGGCCAGCACGCTGGGTGCTATGAAGGATTCATTGGGGACCCCTACCCCCGTCGGCGACCACAGCTGGATGGAACGGTTGTCGAAGATGGCGTTGCGATAGGATTGGTAGACACATTGACAGTTGGACACGTTGGTGTTTGCTGGGATCGCCGACCTTGACAGCCTCGGACAATCGTAACACCTGAACATGCCCGGCAGAGGAGCATACGACAGTTGACCGCACTGGTAGCAGGATGATGCTCCGGCTCTCGGCGCGTAGGTTCCTGCAGCACATGCCTGACACGCCTTTGATTCTGCTGTTGGCGCAAACGTTCCCCGCGCACAGGAGGTACAAAAGTTGGAAGCTCCTTGACTTGTGAACTTCCCCGGGGGGCAAGCGAGGCATGCGGTAGAACCCTCGTAGAGAGAGTACGTGCCAGCCTGGCACGCCAAACAGGCAGTCCTGCTGTCCTCTTGCGCCTTGAAATATCCTGGAGCACAGGGGATGCAAGTCTTGGAGGTTTGATCGATCCTGTACCCGGGCTGGCACTTGTAGTTCAAGTAGATCCTACCAGGACTTGATGTATTGCCTTGACTATCCCTCATCACAAATGTGACCACGGCCAAGGGATTTCCTCCCCCTCCTGCTGGGGGTGTGTACCTGTACAAGTTCTGGCCCAGTGACTGCAGCGTTCCCAGCTGCGGGTAGGAGAGGATCTCGCTCGACAGCTGACTGTCTGGCTCATGATCGGGGCTGCTCCGACTGTTGAACCCTACAGGGCCAAAGGGCCCGACGCCTGCAACGGAGCCCTGGCCTGCTCCCTCAGCCAGGTCGCCACCTTGAACCCACCCGTCAAGTCCATCCGGGGAGGCGTCAACGCCTTGCAGCTCGAAGTCCACACTGACCCCCTGACTGCTCGTCAGCTCCTTCCAGATGGCTTCGGGCACATCATTGACGTTGGCTACCTGGAGATCGATGACCTCAACGTCTGGCTCCGAGTACTGACAAGCTTGGCAGCTGAAGTTCCTTGCATAGAAAGAAAACGAATCCAATCCATTGAAGTTTGGGAAGGGCACATAGGCAAGTCTGATCTCAGGGTTCGAAATCCATCCTCTAGGCCAGTTCCCAACAGTCCCGACAAGGACGAGGGTTTGCAAGCCTTCTAGCACGTTACCCCCGAACTCGTTGCCCGGGCCTTCGTACATCAACCCACAACTTTGAATGAGTAATTTCTTTGTCGAGAAGTTTGTTGGGTTAATTCTTATCCTCAGATGGGAGAACTCAGGAGATCTCCCTTGCATGATGGACTCATAGAATGAATCCGCCAGCCTGCCCTCGCTGGCATACCCTCTCCACACTTCTCTCCACTCAAGACCACTGCAAGCAGAGAAAGTTCTGTTTCTGACCATCCTGGTATCATGGGATGCAAAGTGAAATACTGTTTGTGAGTTCACAGTGTATGTTGACTTGTTCACAAAACTCTCAAACACGTACTCATCTTGTGTTACGAACTCTTCAGTGTACGCCAAAACCCGAAAGAAGACATTGTCCGCCAACTCATGATGTATATCAAACCCTGTCATGTAAACTGGAGTAGAATATTCCGCCATCACTTGATTGATTCCACGTTGACCGCAGATGGAGTAGAAGTCGTTGGGATCCTCTGGGTCGCCATACTCGGTAAGATTGACTTCAGTCGGCACGGTTGACTGGTATGGGTCAAACTCGGGAGGCCACAGGTAGGACACGTTCCTTGAGCAGACCTGCTGGTCATTGACCCCTTGACATGGCAGGCCCTGGGCTTGAGGGTTCAGGTCACTCCAGCTGAAGGCACTTCCGTCCACCACCGGCGGCCTGCCGTTCGCGGTCGGCCTGCCGTCAGGTCCGAGCAGCTCCCAAGGCACACAAGTACTCTTCGACGCCGTGTTGCTGCCCAATCTGCACAACTCTTTGACGCTGCATCGTCCGCCTTGATCAGGATCGTTGGGAGCTTGTATGGCGTAGTTAGACTTGTACCTTGAAACGAAGATGTTTCGGTAATGGAGGTTGCCTGTCCATGAGCCATTGGGGATAGGAAATTCAGAGCGATCGACCTTCATGCATCTTTGACAATGCGACGGAAAGGAGTAGCTTCCAACGATATCTTGAGAAATGAGGTCACAACTCATCTCTCCTGCCCACATGTTAACAAAGGAATTTCCGTATCTGTCTGTAAGGAAACAATTAGAGCCTTGAGAAGCATCAAACAGATTCTCGATGTGGGCAGTAGAATTCAGAATTGACTTCGGTGCCTGTTCTATAGTTTCATCTTCATATGGTATTGGTTCTCCCAGGATGAAGGTCTCTTTGACGTAATAGCAATCGTGCAGAGGGTGATCACAATTTCCTGACTCGCAATCCATTGATGTGGTGACGCACTTGTCTGGGCTCAGAAAAGATGCAGAGGTGTTGAAGAATGGTTCTACGGTAAGATTCAGCTGCTTGCTGACATGCCTCACTTGATAGAGTGTACCGTACTTGGGAAAATCTTTGATGTAACCTGATACTTTGTTAGGAAATGTGGGGTAATTAAGCAGCCGAAGCTTCATGAAGGTGATTTGATCCTCCAGCAGTTTGTAGCTGGAGCTTGGTTTCTCTGGAGTTGGATTTGAGTCTGTTCCTTCAATTGTAATGTTGACAAATCCAAACCGAGCTGCAATAGGTATCTGGTTTGAACATGGCGAGGTGCTGAAAGAAGCGCAAGCAAGATAATCCTGCTGAGGATATTGAGCTATTCTTGATGTCGTAAAATTAAATTGGGCTACTCGACCTGTTACACCTTGGGCAGGAATATAGATAACACGGAAATATTTATCGGAGAGATGGTAATTGAGAAAGTCGAAGGTGATTCCGGTGGTAATGAGTGGCCCTGGGGTCGAGCAGAAGAGCTTTGGAGCTTGACCTCGTGCAACAGCTTCTTGACCATGACAAGTCACGACTTGATCAGAGAACCCTTCTCGCGAGCCACTCCAAGATCGCTCCCGAAAGCTCGTTTCGTTGGAAAGAAACACGCTCATAGGCCCTCGGATCAATGCTCGTGAGCTCCCGGTCGAGCATCTTGCAAGAGCTGGAGGTGTCGTGACGACGAGGAGTTGGAAGAGGGAGGATTGAGAACTGAGGGAGGAGTCTTGGTAGTCGTTGAGGTAGTTGCTCTTCCCTTCGATGCAGGAGGGGTCGTCTGCGAGGGAGGTTCCGCACTTCTGCACACACTCGAAGCCACTCGAGAACGGGATGCACCTCGAGATCCCAACGGTGACGGAGAACAAGGAGAACCCGGCGCACCCACACTCGTAGTTCGGCGAGCCTGTTGGAGGTTTCAAGGCTGTAAGGTATTGGGCTATCGTTGCATGCCCTCGTAACTTTGCGTTTTCAATCGCTGAATCTCGCCAGGGACATCCATTGCGGATCAGGTACTCCAAGATCAGCTGATACCCCAACCCCGCAGCCACATCTGTTGCAACTTCGTTCCACACTGCCTGAACTCCTCGATGGAGCCAGTCCAAGAAGTGCAAATCGCCATTGTATACCGCATGGACGATCAAGGATGGGTCGGACTTGTCGAGACTGTTTTTCAAGTCTGGTCCACTAATGCCAGGCTGAAGGTCTCTCAACTGACATGATGCTGTAGGACTTAACGGAGAAAAACAAGAGGCAGCATCGTTCGGTCCCAGACAAGGTTGACCGTTGTATATTCCACCGAAGCAGGCATACTCGTTTGGGTAAAGCCCGTATGTGTTGTGACAAATCAGCCCTGGATTAGTGCAATTTCGTATACATCCTTGAGCCAAAATCTGATACGTATATAGCGTGGGGGAGCAGGGCGGTAAACAAGTGTAGTTGTAACCTGTGACATTGTAAATCTCGGTGTTATTCACATTGTATGTACAAAGTTTTGATATCAATCCATATCTGAACACGGGGTGACTGTTCATCAACTCGTTCATGAGGCTGGTAGATCGAACGTATGTTTTGTCGTCACAAAAGGTCGTATTTGTGGATGCGTTTTCAACACCGTACCCGCTACTTCTCAAGAGTTGCTGTTTCGATAGTATGGAGCATGTTGAGGCAGATGACACGAGGCCACAAGAAACTTCAATCGTTTGGTACAATGCTCCGCTCTGATTCCCCGACTGCTGGAAGTTGCCTGTTTCCAGCAAATCCATCTGCTGTGGTCCATTCACTGTGACATTGAAGGTGTTTGTGAATGAGTCATCGTCTAAAATTATATCGAGAAAGATGACAGATACGAGATTTGGAGACAAAGTCAAGTTGTATGACATGGGAATTGGAACTGTCGAAGGAGCAATAACAATCTTTCCTTCCATCTGTGGTTGATTCCAAGCAGCAAGATAGCTGGTGTCTGTAGACACGTCGGGGAGCATCTGCAGAGTCTGATACGAGCTGATTGGTTGTATGCTGCTGAAAACAGTTCCAGCTTCACCTGGAGTATCCGTAACTTCGTAAGTAATGGCGTCTGCAGTCGTATCTGAGCCTCCAATAATCTCGCTTGTGTAGTACAAGTACCATTTCACAGTGTAGTTTCCTTTGAATATCCAATAATTTGTCTGCGAGTTTGGAACAAATGAGAATGGGTTGTCTACAGTGATAATTCTTCCCGAGGGAGCGAACGCAGTTGTTGAAGAACATTCTTGCGCTCCTTGGCAGACAATGTTTCTATACTCTATCTTGTCACCGTATTGCAGCTTGACAGAGTAGCCGATGTAACTATCTGATCGTCCAGGAGAGCTGGCTCGTGCAAGGGCAGACAGCTCGAAGCTCGAGGCCGTGCAAGGTTGAGAGATGCACAGGCACTGAGATTGTTGCCCGATTAGCCTTAGATCTCCTTGGTCCACCCAACTGCCAGTGTAGACGTAAAAGCTGCAACACTTCATTAATCAGATTCACAGCAATCGATACAACTCACTTGTTCACAGTTGGGTTGGAGTAGGATATCGTGATTTTGGAATCCACAAAACATTTTTCTCCTTGGCAATTTGGAAAAGGGGAGCAAATATAAACAGGCTGAGTTGGAAAGATGGTGGATGGCAAGTTGTAAACACATTCACTCTTGACTCGCGGATACGTCACGATTCCGAAGCACGTAAGCCTACACAGACCTGCTAAATTGGAAGAATACAAAAGGATCCTGAAGTTCACACAAGGGCTGTCAGAACACTCGGTAACAGTCGTACAAGTGTATGTCGGGTAGGTATCAGAGCCTGTGTTGAGGAAATCGAACGTATTCACACAAGTGTCCACGTCTTTGATCTTCAATTCGACAAGTTGAGTAGTCCCAGACGCATAATACAAGAAGTCCAGCTTCGACCCATAGACCGGTGCACTGGAAGGCACCCTCATTGGTGCTGTACTGTTGAAACCCATTCCCATGTTCAAAGCGTACTTTGATCCACTAGCAAAGTTTCCAATTTTGTTGTAGGATACTTGAGCGACATCATATGACTCAAGGTTGTTGATGGGTGAAGCTAGACCATTCTGAGAAGTGGAAGACGTCCCGTACAGTGAAAAAGAATCATCGAATGGCCAGTACAGAACCAGACCATACTTGTAAGAAGTGTCTATCATGTGACTACAACCTTGGAATGCGGACTTTCCTACTTGTGGCACTTGCACATTCTCGCAGTTTACCCCATCACGAGCAGAATACTGGTTTCGAAAAGAAATCTGTCTGCTCGTCATGGAAAAGTTGTATATTCGAACATCGTCAATCAGTCCTAGAAACGCATTGCTTGAGTCAAAACATCCTGATATGCAGAAGGATTGAATCCTGATCTGTTGCTCAGCACGCGAAATTTCAGGTATGCTATACTCTGTAGCAACATTTCCAGTGTTTAACATGTTATCGTTTGAAAACATTCTGTTTGCAGCAATTATCTGTTGAACAGCACCATACGTTCGTGTTGCATAAGGGTCCGTCGTATTTGTGCAATTGATTTGCTGTTGAACTTTCATATATATTCCTGAAGCTGTCTTTCTACAACTCGGGTCTGGAACGTAAATGCCAGGAATGTACACACTTGGGGTACTATTGAATGCAGGGTCACATGTATCATTCACTATACTTCTGCAGAAGGTCGAGTTCTGGTTCAATCCGATGGATCGTTCGTACCTGTTTCTGATGTCCTTTGTTGAAGAATTGCAGGCAAGCCGTTGTCCAACAGAAAATTCTCCCGTCTTACCAATCTTCGATTGCAGATCAAGTTTTCCACTCCATGCCCAGCCTTCTTCGTTTACAGCCTGACTGCAGAGAATCTCTGCATTGCCACCTGGATACGTCGATTGTGATTGCCTCGGATTTGCACGATCTAACAACATAAAACAATCTATGAAGAGCTTGGCATATTGGGCTTGATGCAAAGTGTGATCAGATAGAAAAGTTTGGTTTTGCACCCAAGTCACAGCAATGTGATGCCACTGGAGATCGTTCACATTAATTCCAGTCGGACCCGACGAAGATCCTTGCAATGTGAATTCAAGATTTTCTGGAGTGAACAGTGCAAACTCTAATCCATAGCTTTCAGAGATATATTGCATAATCCCCTGCCCCAGCCTTTCATTGTCTGAGCACCTCACCCACAACATGATCGTGAATTCCTCGGAAGGAAAGACATCGACAGAACCCGCGATGAAATCATCAATTCCGTCAAATCTCATTGCAAATCCGGCACCACCTATTGATGGGCGATCATTGTAAGGTATTATTTTTGTTTTGGTCGTGGATGACCTACTAAGACCTGTTTGTTCCCTTGACAGGGAGTAAACAGCTCCTGTGCATTGATTTTTGCAAATTGATTTCACTTGACTGACCGAACCATTGTTGATTGCTGAATAGATAATCGACAGCTCAGGCTGCAATCCAGTGCATACTGAAGCAGAGTCCAGCAGACACAATCCGCCATCAATAGCGGCCATGCTTCGAAAATCGATGATGAGGATTCGACCAGAGGTTCCATTCAGAGAGCAGTTGGAATTTACTGCATTGCATTCGAACGACATGGAATTGATTTCAATGCAAGGACATCCCTATAACTCAAGCGTCACCGTGAATATTCACGAAAAGAAGACAACACCTGGACATAAAACAGATCTGTTTCATTCTGATGAAGATATCGTTGATATCTGTCTTCCAACAATTGTACATAATTATCCTATCGAAACAAGATTCAAAATCATACTTTGCTCCAAACTTTATCTTAATTTACCTGTATAGTATTTCTGAATGTTTGGAAAATTCCGATGTGGTCGGTGGAGTATTTCCACGTGAAGGACCTGACTTGAAATTCCAGGGAAGTATATAGAAATAGATCCTCGTATCCTGACTCCCAGAAAAGGTTTGCTGTGAATCCGATACAGTTAAAGTTTGTCTGACTGCACTGCCCAACATCTCCATCTAATGGTTTGAATATCAGAATATTGTTCTGAAACCTGCCTATTCTTGTTTGACCATTTACTGCTGGCTGTTGAGAGTGTTTCAGACTCATCAAGACTTGAGCAATCAAACATCACCATGTTCGTGTTAAATCTCGGTGGCACTTTGCACGGAGAGGATTGCGAGCAAGGACCAAGAATGCTTCCCCGCCCTCCGTACTCTGTGATAGCATGTAAAGTTCCTTTTCCAGGATACCCTATCACTTCAAACTCGCATGCCTCAGGCACGCATGGCTCTGGCGATACTGAAGTAGAGCATTCTCGATAATGCTGGATGGTAGCAGGGGTCCACTGATAATATCCTACATCAAGCCCTAGTCCTTTGGTACCCGAGCTGCAACCTGTGACAATTTCATTCAAGCATTGCAAGATGTGAACAAAGTACAGCATCCAAGGCTATCAGTTCCAAGAAGCTGCAGCGGATCTTGCTGCATGATCATGTCAACGTTGGATGAAGCAGACAAGAAGAATATACTTGTAGCGATCCTTTACACTCTCCATGAATGTTGCAAGTGAATCCGTTGGGTCCCTGCGCGCCAAACAGTTGTCCGCCCCTTCCACCATCACCGTACTCGTGGTCTTCATAAGCACTGTATGTGACGTTGATGGAGCAAGGTGCAGTCTGAGAGATGCCCGAGCTCTAGTCTCGGTTGTCAACAACTATGCATGGCAAACTAAGAAAGCAACTTACCAGGTGCGTACCTGTCACGTTTATCGATCAAGATGAATTCACAAGATGCAAAGTCATGCTACATACATGTGTATTGCGCAGATCCTGGTATGAGCGCAGAAAGAGAGAGGAGAGAGAGGATAACTTGTCTTCTGCTCCACTTGCGCCATATCATCCTATCTCCTCCATCTCGACCGACGGCCCTCCCTACTAGTTGGTCGAATCTAGAACAAATCCGCCCCAGAGAACCACAAGAACTGAAAGTTGTCTGCTTCGCCAGGCTGGGCCCTGCCAGTAGTACGGTACACTGAGAGGCCCCGGGCCTATCATGATCACGGCGAGTCCCGAGTCCAGACCGTCTTCGCCGCGATCCGGTGACCGGCCTGAGTCTGAATCGGATTACGAATTGCGGATGCCTGTTCGAAGTCCAGGCTACGTGGAGTGGCACTCGGAGGCAGGCCCGCGGCGTCCCCGGAGGCGTCCCAGCGGCACCCCGGACTCCGGAAGCCCGGTGGCCGGTCCGCGCTCGGACGCCGGGCCCTGTCCGTGTCCATTGCCCGATGACCGGTACCTTCAGTTGCCAAATGAGATTGCGACCCTCACCGTGAGTATGGACGGTGCTTAACTTTGAGTAAAAGAGACGGTGCAGTCTCTGACCGTACCGCTCAAGTCACGTGAGCCGCTGAGTGAGTGCCACGGCGGGGAGGCCGTTTGATATCCGCTCCGATTCCGATTCAATAATTCCGATTCGTGATTGTTTTATTACTGTCCGGGAGATCTCAGCTGTCACGGGCGAAGGGTCATAATTTGCTCCATGGTCACGTTACTAAGAGCGAACAATCTTTCCTGCCCTCGTGACAGTCTCCTTTAACACGTATACTAGTGCTTACTCTCACGTGATAGGCGTCTGTTCTTGTAAGCCTTTCCTGTAAGGGTCGATGAAGAGGTCTCAGGATATCCACTTTCAGCAACTTAGCACCTGATCGACAGTTTGGATATCGGAGACGAGGTGCGAACCGATGTGATATTGGACAGCCACCCTTACACGATTTCCTGAGCAATTCCTCATATCACAACGATTGAAGTATGACCCTCCACCCCTAAGGAGCCATTTTTCCTCACCTACCCCACCAGTACATAATATCATCTTGCAACACTCACCCAGACATTCATTCTTGTACCCGTATCTTTATCAATCAATGATATGTTCTAGATAGGGTAGAGGAGCAACCCCCTTACTTCATCACCCACCCTTTTTGTACCAGACCCCCCAAATGTATCGTCTTTTCCTCCAACTTCTTCGAGTACCCCTTCATGCCCTGCTTCCCCTTGGGCGATCAAGTTTATTCGGAGGCTTTCTCCGCATCTGTGCAACACGACTGGCCCATTCCGATCGTTCGCTTGACATTGTTGGGTTTGCCTCCATCCTCTACATCGAAGCTTGCAACTTTGAGTTCCTCTCGAACAAACAATAATGCATCCTGCTGATAATCAACGAAGAATTCAAGTGTATCCTAGGACAAAGCCTGGTGAAACAGTGCGGAGAAGGGCTTTGTTTCTGTCTAAGGATGATGTGATGGCTTTGTTTCATCTGCGACAAGGAGAAGCTGCAAACCATCTTGGCATTTCTCTCACGGCTCTGAAAAATGCGTGCAAGAGGCTTGATATCAAGAAATGGCCCTATGTCCGACAGAAGGAAGGCCGTGGGCAAGTATCCTCTCCTCAAAATAGTCAGGATGCGCAAATGGATATCAGAAATGCGGTGAATGAGCAATTGTCAGAGTCTTGTTCTTCTGGCAACGAGAGTTGTGAAGATGTAGAGAGCGAAGATTCCATGGCGGCCGATCCACACGAGGCTGAGTCTGCAACATCTTCCACAGAATCCTCTACACCTGACTCGTCAACGAAAGATTTTTCAAGAGAAGAGACGAAAATTAGTGACGATACCAATTCTTCGACAGCCGAGCAACCAGATAATGCTGGGTTTGAAAGACCTGAAGTTACAGCAACACAACGAAGGAACTCTCTCTCCAGCAACATTGGCCCTCGCGACGTCTTCTTGAAGTCGATGCAAGTGTCGCCCTTCTCCTCCAGTTTCATCGAATGGTATGTGACTGCAGAAGAGGAAGAGTTGCATAGGTCCATTGAGACCTCAGTTACTCATCGTCCGAGGGAGAGCGTGATGTAAAAGCAAGTTGGCAATCGAAAGAAGATCCACTACTTCGAACCCTCTTCTCCAGTACTGAATGAAGGCTGCGCTCTACGGTCCGAGTTCTTTCTTTAATTGTTTTCTCATCTTGCCAACAATACCAAACCGTAAGAGTGAGAGTAGAAACTTTGAATCTTGTGTACATCTATGATCAGTAAATGCCCTGGCGTGGCGTGCCACTCTCATTCCGAAGTCTCAAAGCTAAGTCACTCTGCGCCTCTGCATCCTTGTAAGGCCGTGGGCAGCACACCGACGGCCCTGTGACACGCGGGCACGCATCAGGTCCGACGGTCGCACAGGCTGGCCGCAGTCACCCGACGGTGCCCGGTCAGTGCAACTGAGATTCTGAGGCGGGTCCGAGATTTTGTACGAGCGGGGACGAGGGACACATTGGTAGTGGTTTGAAAAATGGCAGGCGTGTGAACCAAGAAGCTCCGAGGAGGCGATGAGAAGAAGGTTGAGGGAGGGAGGAGGAGTGCGAGAAGCTGGCATGATCCTGAGTTCTGTGTGAGTGCCTGTAGAAGTATGCAGACAGGGCAAGCAGACATGGAAGAAGCGGATGCTTCGAATGTTGCTGAGGCTGAGAGGAGGTATTTATTGAGTTTGCTCACGATGGCTGAGGAGCTGCTCTCGCTGTTGCCTGAAACGGTACGTCTCCTTCTTAAGATAATGTATCATTCCACTAAACCTGATGTGATGGAAGGTGAAGAAGAAATATGGTATCATCAAAGGTACTTTGGCTGTACGTCTGGGGTCGAAGATTTCCAACCTCCCGAAGACCTCAGTAATCTTCACCTCGCTAAGCCAAGGAATTCAACCTCATCTACCATCCAAAGAGCATTCTTCTATCACTACTCCAAGAGACTCGAAGCAGTTAGATCAAGACCAAGTTGACAGGAAGTTAACCGAATGGAATCAGTCAAATGAAGCAAAAAATCTGGGCACTCTGCAGAGGAGAGATGCGAACTCTGAGAATTCTCAGGAAGTGAATGAAGGGAAATTGGGGACATATACATTTGAGCTCTCTGGAGGTGCAACTTCACAGCACAATGCATTGGAAAGTGCTTTATTAAAGCGCCATCTCAAATCCCTTGTTTGCATGCATAAACGAATCCAGGGCAGCAGGTGTACGATCGAAGATGATTTTTGCTTCCTTACATGCCATCATAGGAGTTCTGAAAATAAGATCTCAAAGTCAGAGAATTTTGAGGTTGAGTTTCAGAATGTTGCTGAAGGTATCACTTCGTGCTGCGAGGAGTTCGCTCGATTGGAAGTACTGTTGGAACAAGAGCTGCAGCTCGAGGTAAGGAAGCAAGGAGCTGGACGGACATCATGAGAATGACTGTCTATGTTGTTTCTTTTCCAGAGTAATCCAGATGTTCACGGGAACGATGATCTGTAGCTCAACTTACATAAGTGGAAATCATGTAATACTCTGATAGCAGATCAAACCCGAATGCTTCGAATAGCGGAACAGATTCCAGAAAGAGTGATGAATGAAGATTTTTCTTGGATAATTTCGCTGAGTGCTGAATGTTGACAGGTAAGACAGGAAGCCAGCCTGGTAGAGAAATGAGACAAATGGAAATCAATGAAATCGTAAAGGAGGTAATATGTTTGTTGTCATTTGCAATCAATCATGAGGATTTCAGCGGGATGAGGCCAGAATGGAGATTGACAGACTTGCTCAAGAACTGCACAAGAGCAATGGACTGTTGGAAAATGCAATCTTGAGAGCCCTGGTTCGTCTCTCTCTCGCCTGACCCTTGCCCATCATTGACAAGTCCGCATAGCAAGCGGAGCAAATGAAGACCAATTATGACAAATGGATCAAGGAGGTATTTTCCTTCCAATGTTTGTCTCGTCAGGATTTTAAATCCGCGTATGTAGACGGAAGATCAATACCAAGCAACAATTGAGATGCATGAGCATGAATTGAGGTGCGAACTGATTTTTCTGCAAGAACCTGAACTTGGTCAGGTCATATTACGAAGAGGTCATGGAGACTAAATTGAAACAAGCTGAAGCTGAGAAGTGAGTCAAGATCTCTTTGATATGGCTTGACCGAAAATTGGTAGGAGAGAATGTCTACGGAATTTGAGATCTGAACTCGAGTGCAAGCATGCGAAGGCTTTGGCCAGTGCCCAGGTTTCCTCATACAACCTTTTTCCACTTCAAACATGGGTTGAATGAATGATCTCTAGGCCTCGTATGCGGAAAAGTTGCAAGCGGCAGATGAAAGAGTATCAAATATGCACCTTTGATGGTGGACTTTGACAAGCTTGATAGATACATGAAGCCAACGATAAATTGAAATCCATGACAGAGGTAGGCAATCTTTCTCGTGAACAGCGGTCCTCGTGTAAGAAGCTCTGTTCAAGGAACGTGACTTACTACAAGAAGAATATCCGAGGACTTTGCACGTGAAGGTGATTGTCCCTTCTCCTTGCGGTATGAAATAAGAACCACAGCAGATCGAAGAGCTTGAAGCTGAGAATCAAAGGCTGAGAAGGAGCCTCACAAGTGAGAGAACAAGATGGCATTCCTCAATGCGACATAAACATTTCTGCAGCATTGTCACGGAGGCTGAACGCCGCGAGAGATTCATCCGGGGGGTTTCAAGAAGGAGCTCAAGGTTTTGCTCTTAATGCCTTGGGTTCTGTCTGATCATGCTCATCAAAGGATTCGAAGACATGCTCTCTTCGGTTCTTTACGGCTCTGAATCTGCTAGGTAAACTCCGTCCTTACAAAAACTCTTTCGTTGAGATGCTCTCTTCTTGCAGACAGAAACTTCGGCAGCAAATTTCCAATGTCCGAAGTTTCGACGCTCAAGTCAGGAGCAAGAGGGCTGCCAGAGGCTCGTCAACTAAGTCCAAGAGCGCTGGAGGTAAGCCAGAAGAAGGAACTCCGCATCTGAAGCCATGCTGCCTTTAGGCGTAAAGGCAGGTCCAAGGAAAGACGTCGACGAGGACGACTCTGAAAGCACCTCGGACGGCGACATCTCCTCGCTCGTGGCGAGGATCAACCATTGCTGATTTCGATCATTCTCCCAATTCTCATTCGCAACCATGACCCACATCTCCTCCATCCCCATCCTGTCACACCCATCTACATCCTTGTCCACATTCTTGTCATCGTGACCATGCCATGTCTATTTGAATTTTAATCAATGAAAGCTTAATTCAATCAAGACCTTCCTGCAGACTTGAAGTGCAGGATCAACTCGCATCAGGCCCGGCCTGCCTTCGAGGTTTTCAGAGTCTTGACAGCGAACATCTCAGAGTCGGAAGTATGCCTGACCCAGGGCTTGATCGGACCGGGCCCCGGCCCCAGCTGGCCTGTGAGCTGGCCCTGACCCGCAGTGCCTGACCGGGCCCAGGCCTGACCCGCAGCCTGACCTGCACTGCAGCCTGACCCGCTGCCTGACCGTGGCCGGCGAAGCCCGGGGATGAGGAGGGATAAGGGCTCCGGCCCCCGGTCCATGTGCACGATGGTGCGCGAATCATAGAGAGAAGAGAGAGTGGGGGGAGGAGGAGCAGGAGCAGGAGCAGGAGGAGAGGAGGGGAGAGGAAGAGTGGAGAGGAGGACGAGTGGTGAAGCAAACAAAGAAGGGGAGGAAGTGGATAAAGGATGTAGAGTAATGAGGAGGAGATCCAGTACGACTGTGTTCGGGAGCCAGCAGGTCCTAGTTGCTCTGATTCATAATGTTGCAGGAGGTTCGATGACGAGAAGTTTTATCTTCTCCATCTCCCTCCTTGCCCATTGCGTCGCGTTCAACAACAACATCAACTTCGCCCTCCATCCCAAAATGATAATTCAAAGCTGTCGCATGGCGAGGAATTTTCGCTCAAACTGTTGCCGGACATTCTTTACAACCAAGGCAACTTTACTTTACATCATAACAACGTTGACTGTAGTGTATCAGAAATGCATCATGAAAGCTGTACAAACCGACGGAGCCGACGCTGACCAATCATGCAGCATGGTATGCACGAATCATACATTCAAGCACGAGTTTGAGCGTCAATGCAGGAGGACTTCATTGATCCAGCGGTCGAACGATTCTCAGGGATCAAGAGGCTTTACGGTTCTTCTTCATTGGAGAGGCTGAGAAATGCTCATGTTTGTGTGGTAGAGCATCGCGCCCTCTAAGCTGTGATCGCATTGATTCTTCAGAGCAGGTCGGGCTGGGAGGCGTTGGCTCATGGGTGGCAGAATCATGTGCGCGCAGCGGAATCGGCAAGATAACACTAGTGGACCTTGACGAAGTTTGCATATCCAACATCAATCGACAGCTCTGCGCTCTAGACGTATTCGTCTTCGCTGAATTGCACAACGCTGATTGTGTGGCAGAGCACCGTAGGACGCCCGAAAGCAGAAGTCCTGAGGGCTCGGATTCTCGACATCAATCCTGAGTGCAATGTATCATGTGTGTTACAGGTGAGATGTTTTCCAGCCATGTTGATAAAGCTAACTCTCCTCTGCTCGCCAGTTTCTGCGACGTGAAAATGCCCTGAGCATCTTGAGCGGAATGGACGGGGATGAGGGGATTGAACCTCAGAGGACTAACTGCTCGTTTGACTTCGTCGTTGACGCCATCGATAGCGTCGATGACAAGGCAGCCCTGATTTCCGCGTGCACTTTCGTGAGAGTTGAGGTGTCAGAGGAGCGGAGGTTGATAGCTTTAAATAGTTGAAGGTTCCTATCATCACATCGGGAGGCGCCGGGGGCCTGACGGATCCTACGGCGATAAGATCGGAGGAGCTGACAAAAGTTGAAGACGACGAGCTGCTGTTCCATGTGATGCTCCTTGTCCGGGGCTAGCGATGCTGGTTGTTGATGTTTGCGACCAGGTGAGGAAGAAGTTGCGGCAGTTCTACGGCTTTCCCCAGGTAGGAGGAGGAGGAGGAGGAGGAGGAGGCGTGATGGATGAGAGCCTTTTGGCAGGGGCTGCCTCACCGGAAGCGGTTTGTCCTTGAGATTCCTTAGGATGTTATTGAGCTGTTGTAAGGAATGTTTGCAGAGTGAAACCTTGGAAGATTCAAGCTGTCTACTCCAGCGAGAAGGTCCGTGGAACTCACGCCTGAGTTCCTGATTGACTCCCGTTGTCTTGTCCAGCCTATTCAGACCTTGGTTGAGGAGGCTGCGAGCCAGGGATTCCGATCTTGTGACTTCTCTATGGGGACTTCAGCCATGGTTATGTTGTTTTCCTTCTCCAACTTCCTCCTGACATCGGAAGCAAGGTCACGGGCTCGTTCGGTCTTGCTATGGGCTCCTTCATTGTCAAGTCAATCGCACTTGGGACTAATTTTCCTCCCAACGTTCAGTTAGCTAACGCGACAGGAAGTCCTCGTCGAGGTTTGAGACTTCAAGAGCAGATCGACTAAAGTGTGAGCTAAGACATACCTGAAGTCCAGTTCTGTTTTAACTTAGTAAACTGGTCAAGCCTCCTCAACTCTCCTGATTGTCCTCGTACTGATTTCTAACTTAACTTTGAGTAAAGTCAACTGAAACTTGCGGGCCGGCCAGTTGGCAAGTTGCGGGCCATTACTGAACTGCCAGCCCCGGTCCCGGCCGCCGGGCTGCGAGATAGTAGATATAGGGGGATGAGGGCGATGAGGGTGAAAGGAATGGGCGGAGCAATATGGGCGGGGGTGATGGCTACGAGCAGCGTGATGCTCTTCTCCTCAGGGTTCTACATGGCAGGACGGGGAGATCATGGTACTTGGAAGCTAGCTCGCTCCCTTCCTCTTGATCCACAGCCTCTGTCCAGGTCCGCTCCTTGAGAGATTCATCGGATCAGTGGACAGGAGTGTAGATCTTTCGCAGGAGAGGTGATGATCAGCGACGCAAGCTTTACAGTGGTAGGGATGACACCTTGTTGCAGGTTTCATGGCAGTTTCGCAACTGATCTCGAGCTCCGTGTTCATTGCGGGTCGTTATTCGCTGCCCCACCTCTCCTTGTGGTAAGACGCACTTTGATTCGACTGCTGGTGAATAACGCGGGAATTGAAGTTAGCTGTTGTTGTGAGCAAGATTCATTCCTCCGCGGGTTTTGTTCAAAGAGAATTCTCAGCTGCGTCTCAAATCTTCGCAGGATTGCTCAGTGTATTGATAAGAGCAGCACTTGGCTTCGTGTTGGGATCGTTATTCTTTCATTCCTTATTCGTCATTTTCGGAGTTCCGGTGAGCTCGTGCTTCAAGGAGATGTTTCTGTCTGAGTCGCGTGCAAGGTCTTGGAGGCGGCGCACAAGACTTTTGTTCTCAGCATGTATCATCTGTTTGTGATGCGATACAAAGGGTCGGATGACATGGGTTGACCAGGCACCTCGCCGTTCTTGCGGCAGTGCCTCTTGCTTGCACGTTTGGCACAGATGTCGGGCGAATGTCTCCTGTATTTCTTCCTCGCTGACTCTGAGGTGCCCTAGCTGGGAGGATGGAGGAGGGTAGTCGCCTGCAACAACCCCAAGACTGACGGAGAGGTGTTGGCGTACTTGCCTTCCGCTCTTGCGGTAGGGTGTCCGGGGAGGCTCGTCTTCAAGCTCACGATAGGTTTCCCGTGCTTCAGGTGGTAGGCACATGGTTCGGTGCGATCCCCATCCCCTTGGACTGGGACAGACCATGGCAGGTAGCGATGGAAGTGGGAGAGGAGCGACACTGATCCCTCCAAGGCCTGGCCTATCACCTGCACGGCTGGCGCCATCGCAGGCCATGCGTTAGGATGCTGCGCTGCCTTCCTACTCCTCATCCTCGTGCGCTCGTAACCTTTTCGCAAGAGAGTCGCTGACAACCGTTCAGGGTTCGCGAACTCGGAAGCAGAAGAGAACGTGAAGACGATGAAGAACCTGGGTCGTTCGGTCGAGAAAGCAATCAAAGAGCTCGATAGAACATGTAGTATTAGTTTACAGCTGGACAAACCTATTTCCTAAAGATTGCCTAAAGAACAATGCCGCAAACCACCACTCCAAAGCAGATGATGAAGAAGAAGACCCCCATAATCTGCATCGAGGTCAACTCATCCTTGTCAGGGAGACGGCATCATTACTATCAGGCCAAATCCTTGAGATATGCGGCACTGCACAAATAGATCCATTCCCTTATCCTGGCTATCAGTCAGACAAGGAGCTCGATGAATAATCTAGTGTCACCTCCACGATCCAAGTTCGAAGCAGACTCGCAAACAAGGCAGCTGGGAACTGTAGGAGGACAGGAAACTGAAGGAGAGAGCTCAACAAGAAAGCTTGAGCACAGGGATGATCACCATCATTAAACATGCAGCTGTGATCGCGTACTTGTCCAAGACGGAGATAACACAGTCGATCTCCGATTTATATGAGAGTTTGTTGGCTCCACCGCATCCTACCGAGCTCTGCGTCTCGTCATCAACAAAAGAAAGGCTGCAGCGTTCCTCACATATACCTGCCAACTACTCGTACTGTTCCACAGCCTGTAGACAACGTCAATCATTTGTCCGCGGACACGCAAATGGACGCATACTTGGTCACAGTGTAGTTGAACTGATCAATGTACGAAACAGTCGATGCCCCAGTGGTGGATTTCTTATGACACCATCAGGGTTGGCTGATACATCATATTGAATCTCACCTTGAGATAGCTCACGTTGACAGAGACGAACGTCGTGAAAGCAATCTGTGCCGACGCAAGGAGCAGCTGGGGCTGACAGTGAGGGATCAAGATGCTCGAGTTGCTTCTCACCTCCAAGTAGATGAAAGAAGACAGAGAGGTGGTTGAAGACTGTCAGGTGCTGCTAAGAGAACGTCGCGATGCAAACGACGAGAAATACCTTCGTAATTCCGTAGAGTAGCAACATGCAGCTCAGAAAGAGGAAGATGGACCAAATGAGGAACGAGATGTATGGAGCCTGCAGATCAAAGGCAAGGTGTAACACACTGTTCTCAGAGAAATTCAGTATACCAGGATGAAATCTGAGAAACTAAGGCATTGCTCGAGCAATCGATTCTGACTGCAATAGTCGTTGATAGCATTCTTCGAAACATCATAACGTTAGGTTTCTTCTTCCACAACAATCTCATTAACCTGAACATTTGATCTGAAGGAAAACAATTGGTTGCAGAGAAAGGACGAGACCGCAATATCTCCAAGGGACAGTATGGCCAACACCCCCAATAACACATTCTTGAAATGACAACACTTAGCCAACGCAACATAGAGCCGCAAAATCTTACAAGATAATGTAAAAGTTGAGCCTTGCTCATCCGTTTCTTGGGCCTTTCTTTCTTGGGTTGATCTTCCTTAACAGCCTTCTGCTTCTTCTTCTTGTTCCCTCCTTGCTTTGACTTCCCACTTCCCTGAACTTCGAGCCTGGTTTCGTGTTGCTCGTCTCCGGTGTTGTCTTTCTCTCCCTTTTGTGTCTCATCCTTGCCTGTACTTTCTTCCTCTGCCTCTCCTTTTCTCTCATCGCTCTCGTCCTTTCCCTCCTCCTGTCCTTCCAACTTGACTTCCTCCTCCCGCTCTTTCGCAACTCTTTCGCCTTCCGCCCTCCGTCGCTTCTCTTCTTCTCGCGCTTCCTTCCTTCCAACCTGCTTCTCTTCCTGCTCTGGCTGCTGGATGTCCTTCTGCTGATCTTCTTCTTCCTGTCGCTCCTCCTCCTCCTCCTGCTTCCTCCTTCCTCTTCCCCTTCGGGGGGGCATGGCGCCAATCGCAATCGCTGAAGGGCCCGGAAGGGGAGGGGTACAAGATCAAATTGTGCCAAACTTTGCTAGAAAGGGGTGGGTGAATGGATTTTATCAGAGGGGTACTCAATTGATCGAAGGTGGGGTGGGGTGGGCAAACAATCGGGGAGAGCACTTGATTGAACGGAATGGAGTCGGGGAGGTGACGGCGACGGCGACGGGGATCTTGACATGAACATCCGGCATGCTCGTCTGCTGTCAGTGCTCTTCTCCCTCTGTTGCCTCGTGTTGGCCTGCCATGGACAAGTAGGAACATGCATGTTCAAGGTGACACTACGACCCTCCCATGCTCGGATCACTTTTGGTTTTGCAGGAATGGGAGCAACTGGAGCCCTTCGACTTCGAGCCGCAAGAACCTGAGGAGGTCAGACTCCTCGCGTCCTTCCAGACGCATCAGCGGCCATGCAAACTTCTCATCTCTATCGGCTTCTGCGATACTCGAACCGAGTCCGGGATGTACGGCGACCTCTGCCATCATGTCGCCCCGACGGCCATCGACCGATGGGAAGTTGTGGTTGAGGAAGGTGAAACCTCGCTAGATTGGAAGCCTCATGCGATCATCTCGAGAGATTGGGAGGGTTTCTACACCTTGCTCGTAGAAGCTCGATGGGTGATCCCGTCCTGACCTCCCTTGACGTCAAGAGCTGCTGACTGGTGAATGGCAGGAGCACGAGGGGGGAGAGAGGAGGACGATCTTCGAGGTCGTGAGGTTTAACGGTTCCCAATCCTCGGGTGCCTGTGAGGTCAAGGACGAGGAGGAGCAGGAAGATGAGGGCAGCACGGTGCCGGATTCATGGGGGTCCATACTGCATGGGAGGAGCCCGGTTGTGGCTGAAAGCCTGCGCGTGCTGAACGAGTCTGTAACTGCTCTTCTGGAGCAGCATCAGAATAGGATGGAACATCTGTGTAACTCTGCTCGTTTCGTGATCTGGAACTCTTTCGGGGTGCACGGGTTTGGCTCCCAGCTGCTGTCCCTGCGCATCGGTCTGGAGTACGGGATCCGTACCAACAGGGTTGTCGTGCACAACCCGGAGTTTGAGGTTGGAGGTGTTTGTTTTGCTCCTGTCTCTTGATATTGTTTTCATGTGAAGCAAATGATTGTTCAAGATGACCTTGCCCTGCGCTTCGGCGAAAAGACCAACTCCTCCTCCTCCTCCTCCTCCTCCTCCTTCTCCTCCTCTCCCTCTCCCTCTCCCTCTTCCCCTCCTCCCTCCTCTACGCCTTCAGCACCTCGGATATACTGGGACAACTACTATGATCACGAAGGCGTCCTTGAGAGCATTTCCACTTGTGACCGATCCGGTGAGGAAATATCACACCCCTTCCGGTCGATGACGACGATTCAGTGCTCAACTGGTTGGACCCAACCTTTTATGCTCCTCTAAGAGAACACGGGGAGAACACGTCACCTGTGAGTCTGTGCGGGTCTCTGATCTTGCTCTGACTGGCCTCGTGCGCCTCAAGGTTCTTGAGCAGTACGTGGAGGAAGATGAAGCTCTCCAGCATAGCAACCTGTTACAGCTACACCCAGTGAGTAGTAGTAGTAGTAGTAGTAGTAGTAGTAGGAGGAGGAGGAGGAGGAGGAGGTTGAAGTTGCTGCAGGTGACGTATGGGAAGAAGATGAGGAAGGGAGCGGTGAGGCCTCCCGCTGCGTTGGTCTCGGATCTCGTCCAGATGTTGGGAGGAGGAGAGGAGGAGGGGCAAACAGTTGGGACCAACATAGGAGGAAGAGGAGGAGGAGAAAGCTCAGAGATCCGAGTGGGGGGTGGGGAGGAGGAAAGGAATATTACGTGGAGTCCGGACATGAGCAGCAAGGGGCATGTCAGTTTTGATGTCTATTGGTGGCACCTGCTGTCTACTTGGTACTTGTTCAGGCCGAAGGCTTCACTGATGGACCATGTGAATTCTGTCAAGGAGAGTCTCGGGTAAGAAGCTGCTCTGGTTGCTTCTTGAAGTCTTGTCGCCCTTGGTGTACATCATTGTCTTGATGCTCCTATAGATGGAATGAGAAGCACAAAGTCATCGGAGTTCACATCCGTATGGGCAAACTTGCTGTAAGAAAGAAGATCAACATTGTTTGTCTTTCCTAGCATCATCTCTTAGATGCTCTTCTTTAATCTTCCATCACAACTCTCTTCAATCTCCGCTTTTCAATTTCCTCTTCTTCTCTCGCTCTCCTTTTACTTTTTCTTCCTTTCACTCTGTCGCAGGATGCGAAGCTTGACAAGGTTAACGAGGCTCAACGGATTCCCGTTTCCCTCTACGTTCGAGAGGTTTGCAACTGCTCTTGTCTAGAGATGTCTTGACGAGAACAACAAGACTAATCGACTTGCTCGCATCATCAATGCCACGGCAGTCTTTGTTTGTAGCGATCACCCGGGCGCTATCAACAAGGTTTTCTTCCATCCTAGTTCTTCACTTTGGCTTCTTCTCCTCCTCAACTGACTCGCCGTCTCTTCACCCAGTTCATACGCATGATGCCAAGCAACCTACAAGTCTTCACACAAGACTCTCGGAGATCTTCAAACCCTCTCATGGTTGCATGTTTCATTCTCAACATCGACCCTGACACCTCGAAGGCGCTCATGACGGATCTGATCTTAGTTTCTCACACTGATGCAATTGTCTTCACCTTCACTTCCACTTTCGGACAAATCGCAATGTGACGATGCAGCTGTTTGAATTTATGGGAGATAAGTTTGTCCAACAGGCACCTTCATGCGAGGTACACGGACTTCAACCCTGTCTTCATCGCAATGGACGACTACTGCACTAGGTTTCCACCCTCGAGAGATCTTCTTGCAGACATGATGATTCCTTTGCAGTCTTGGTTGGGCCGGTTATCACCTGGAGCTGAAGCATGTTTGTATAAGCAACAGGTTGCTGGAGTTTGCAAGGGATATGCTAGATGTGACCAAGACTGCAGGAGCTCAATCCGGATCATGGTTCATGATTGTGAGGCTGGCGCTTGCGATGGTGGGCTTGCCCGTTCTCTGCCATGTCAGGTGACACGATGAGACGCAGAACGGATGCGATCACAGCCTGCCTCGGGGCCAGTGCGCTCAAACTCACTGAGACTTGTTCATGGTTTCCGTGCTAAGAGAGGTTGGGACTTCTTCCTCCTCTACCCTCCTGAGCTCTGATCGTCAGAGCACCTTCCTCTCGGTGAGACGATCATCCGAAGAGAAGAGGACTCCCGGGCCTCGCAAGGTTCCTCCGAGGAGGGAGAAAGTCTCGGGCAAAGCTCCAGGTCGACTCGACTCTCCGAGTGGAGGAAACGGTTCTCAGCTGACAGCGCGATCGAGGAGGAGGACCAAGGCTCGGTTAGCAGCATGTCCAGGGAGGAGGGCGGAGAAACGGTGGTCTCCAGGAAGGAAGGAAGGAGCGAGAAGAATCGATGCGTGCGTCCTCTCTCCAGTCTCATCCCCTCGTTCCCTCGCTTCAAGGGAGCTTGTCGGGCTGCCGAGCAGCTTGACGGGCTGCACTGCCTCGGCCTGACGGTCTTCCAGTCGTCGAGTGAGCAGCAGTGCAAGGCCATGTGACTTAACTTGCTCCACTTGTCTGCCATGTCACTCCTGTACAGGTGCTGCAGCTACGGTCCCTGTGCTCTGTGGCAATGGATCGTGAAGGAGGAGGGAGGGGCAGCGGGAGACTGCTGGCTGGGGCTGGGGCAGCTGGAATATCCGTGCCTTCCTTCTCCCGAGGGATGGAAATTCAAGGGAGAAAAAGTGACGCGCGAGTGAGGGGAGGGAGGGAGGGGAGGGAGGGAAGGAGGGAGGGAGGGTAGGTAGGTAGGTAGGGGAAGAGAGGATAGGTGGCTAGTGCGGCTTCTTTACATCAATCGTTAGCTGAAATCCTGTTGACTTCGTTGACTTTGCCGATGATCGCACATACTTGACAAGAATCACAAGTCAGGCTAGTTTGAAGCAACACTTCGGAAGGTTGTCAATATACCTGTACAGGTTTAAGCCACATGTCGAGGACGGTCCTTCCGGGCACCTGTGGCGATGGAGCAAGTCAGCATGCGAGGGGCGGGCAGGGGAGGGATCACGATGTGACTGTATCGGATGGAGGTCCAAGCCTTGATGCTCCCCTGTGCTGGTTGATTTGTCTTCTTGTTTCTTTGCTGCATCTTTCACGAAGCAATCAATTGCAAGAAAAGACATTTGCTTCATGTTTGTTGATGACCTCAATATCAAAGGATCATAGGATACAGGCTTTTTCCGCAAATTCAGCCGAGTCGGACCATTGTTCAACTCTGAAACAAGTGCAAATGTCCAATAGTGAGTTTCGGGGAAGATAACTGCTTGCTTTTGACTTGAGCCTTTTATCTCAAAGAAAATCACTGCTCCTTGTCCAACAGTCTGCAACATCTTTCGGCTCACAGTTATTTCTCCCTGCAGCTTGACAGAGAGAGTATTGTCTGATGAAAGCTCACTTTTCGACTCCACGTCATGACTTGGCTCAATGTCAAATCGGTTCAATTCTGATACCAGGTTGCCATTCTTGTCCACAAGCCCGATGGATAAAAATGGTTTGCAGAGATTCGCTGGATTCTGCACGAACAAACAATTCAATTTGATGTGGTAAGTCTTGATCGAAGAGACAGCGATCATGGAGCTAGACTGCGAAATCTAAGGCGGGTAAGGTTTGAGAGATGTGCCGTACATCACTGGGTTACCTGTACATTAGAGGCTGCATTCAACTGATTCAGCCATTCTTGGGCTTCTCGTTTTGAATCTGCAACGAGGTAGAGGTCATCTTTTGAGGGTATTGATAGGTCAGCCTGTTGAGAGCAAATCAAACAACATGTCAGCTGAATCGAGGAGCTATGAGCAAGTAACCTGAATGAGGATACAATTTTGAGCCAGAGAGGAGAATGCGATAAGAGCTGATTGTAGCGGTACAGATACAGATGGCTTGAGGAAAATGTGCTCTGAACTTTTGAAAATGTGTAGTGATGCACCTTGGATGATTGCATATCCTCTGTAACTCTTTCTATGAGTTGCATCTAACCAGGTTACGTAGCCCTTCTTTTGTGCAGGGATGTTCTTGTCATCTGTCTTTGAGACGGGCTTCTGTTCTTCAGCATTGTCGATTTCTGGAAGGTACCAATTGGGCCGTGCGTCCTTTCCATTGCTAGCTTGTTGCAATCTGAGAGATAATCGGAGGTACTCTATCTGCTCCAACGGATGGTTAGCAGAAAACAATATGGATGAATGACATCACCGCTTCAAGGAGAAGTCTTCTGTTCTGTTTGATGCTGATTCCCATCTGTTTGAGGTCATTTTCTTTGAGACGAAACAACTCTTCAAAATCAATGCGATTCAGCGCGAAAGTTTTTTCATATTGTGAGAATCCAATACTTCTCAACCAGAACAACACGTCATCGACACCAGCTCCGAGCTGCATTCGAACATGAGCAAGCAGTAGATCGCATGGCAAACATCCAAACCTTCATGGGAGTCTTCACGGCTTCTGATTGAGGCTCACAATGTATCTCATTCACTTGGCTGATGTCAAAGCTGACAGACTTGAGACCAGGTTGGTCCAGTGGATGTGCCGGAATTGTACCCGTCGCGTTCGACTCTTGCGAAGAGTCTGTGGTGCTGTTCGCCTCCGGGTAAACTTCCAAGCCATCTTCAGAATGCCTGGCTTCGCTTGCTAGCTCGCGCTCTTCAGAAATAGCGTATAGCTTTCCTATCTGAACCTCACCATAATCATGACTCTCTTTGCCAGCAGACACGAACCCTTGATCGTCCTCCTTGGGCACATTCGTTCTGTCAAGATCCTCTACACTATTGTTGTTCTGGGCCGGGGTTGAAGCGGGGTCGTCAGCACCTTCGCCGGCATGACTCCAACCATCTTTAATGCTCTTTCCGGCCTTGAGCAGTTGAGCAGGCGTCGGCCTGCCGAAGAGCTTCCCCGTTCCGATGGAGGAGTCAGGCTGCATGTCGATTCGAACTCAAGTGGTTGCAGGCCCCTCAAGCGTCTCTGCTCTCAACACGAACATGCAGGCTCTCTTCTTGCACATCCCTGCCTACCAGTCCCATTTCTGTGCTGGTCGCTCGCCGGCACATGCGGCAAGCATGGCGCCCCGGCAGCCGCGCCGTCACAGTCGGCCATATGCCCTGTCACTCAGCATGCTCATGGCTACCGGCAGGAACTTCGCATGCCCGCTAGCTGGCCCCGCCTACAAGCTAGTTATGAGAGGCTCCCGGACCATTAGTCGGCACTCAGTCGGACCGGTCCTTAGCCGGCCCCGAGTGACCCGGCAAGGCCAACTCAAAAGTTTACTTACTTTTATATTACTAGTAAAAGTTACTTACCTGTGCCATAGCTCACGGGATCATTATTTTATAAAGCACTGTTTTAAAACTCTCTTGCTACCCAATAGAGTCTGGGTGGGAGTGGCGTGCAGTGTTTGATGACTGGTAATCTAAGGGGTCCAAAACAGGAGAAATTGGGGGTGGAAGTGTTGAGATGGGCTAAATGATGGGTACGGTGGTACCTGCCCCAGGTGGTCCAATGGTACTTTCGTCTGAAAGAGGGGTGGAACGACTGCGCCGCGAATGGGTTGTATCCTTGGAATGCAGACATGTCAGGGTAGAAAGGCGGGAGGGAATGGCGGCAGTGATAATCGAACTGGGTGAGGGGAAGAGAGACTGATGCAACAATGAGAGCCTAAGATGTGATGAAGAGGAGAGCAACGGCTGAGATTCATCCAATAAATTTCTTAGTTCGGTTTTGACAGATGGAACGGGACCCTGTGTAAGGAACAAACTCTTAAATTGTTTGAAAGATCAACAAAAGGCAAGACCCTGCTCAATCTAATTACATGACCTGACGTGAAAACAGGTCTAGTGAAAATGTTCGGTATGGATGCGGGTCTGCGGAAAGACTACGACATGGGTCCGGCCATAGGAGAGTGAGTCACGACAAATGCATGTCCTTCATCCGAAGTGTTGCTCACCTTTCCTTGCTCGCAGAGGATCATTTTCAATAGTCAGATTAGGAATACGGAGATCCAACGGGGAAAATGTAGCTATCAAAGTGATTGACAAGAAGAGCATAAAATTCAAGGACAATGTAGTGCAGCGAGAGGTGAATCTCCTGTTCACGACTTGACCTTCCAAGAATTCCCTTCTTGATACGATCTTTCTTAGATTGCTACGATGAAATTGGTGGATCATCCTAACTGTGTCATGCTGTACGACATATATGATGACAGCAAGCACAAGTATTTGGTTATGGAGCTGTGAGTGAGATTCGATCACGTGAAGGAAGAATTGAGGTTTTGTTGCAGGGTAACAGGAGGAACTGTCATGGACCGAGTTGTGGAAATGACACATTTTACCGAAAAAGACGCTGCCACTGTCACCACACATGTCCTGAGGGCGCTCGAACATTTGCATGCTTTGGGAATTACTCACCGGGATATCAAGGTTTGCATTGATCAGCTATCCATGTTCTGATTTTTTTGTGTAGCCTGAAAATCTTCTCTACAAATCCAACGATCCACTGTCACCAGATTACAATACTGTGAAGGTGATGTGTCTGATATTTCTGTTGCCGCCGCGCCTCTTACGGTCGAGGGTAGTTGGCAGATTTTGGTCTTGCGAAATTTGTTGGGGTTGACGAAACCATGAAGACTACTTGTGGAACTGTGAGTTCTCTTTCGTCGTTCATCGGTCGATATATGATTGATGAAGCAGCCTGGGTATGTTGCCCCTGAGATCATTGATCCGAAAATGCCTTTTGGCGATGGATACGGTCCATCGGTGGATATATGGTCTCTTGGTATTGTACTTTATATCATGCTTTGCGGATTTCCCCCTTTTCTACACGAATCGACAGGTCATATTCTCTTGAATTCTACAAATCCTTCTTGGTCCACACGGTTCTTACTTCTTGTTCGATTACAGCTGTGTTATTCCAGCTGATCCGCAAAGGGGAGTTCGACTTTCCCACTCCATACTGGGATGCTGTGTCATCGGACGCTATGGATCTTGTATCAAAGGTAACGATGGTGCTTGAGTTATCATCCACTAATTCAGAGTAGATGCTTGTTGTAGATGCAAAGTCTCGACTTAATGCTGAGCAATGCTTGGATCACCCTTGGATCAGTGTCAGCGGACCAGAAGCTGGGAGAACTCTGCACAGGTATGACAGCAGTGTCCTGCCAAACTTTCCTTTGATTCTCCTGTGATGTTGCCAAAGTTTCCTTTGATGTCACCAAACTTTCCTTTGACGCTTGCCTCGCAGCTCTCACCATGCATTCATGCTTATCCGAAAATTGCAAATTTTCGACAATGTGGATCCCGCATGCATGCAGGTCAGATATTGTTTGCAATGGAAGCTTTGGATTGACGAGAAGAAAGGCTGTTTGTTCGTGCCTCAAAGTCAAGAAGTTTCCTAAGGGAGCATCTGTCATTCGCGCGGGTGAAATAGGGGACAGCATGTACTTCATCAACAACGGGGTTGTCAAGGTGGAGAAACAAGATTTGTTGTCCCACTTTATGATGTCGAGCCAAACAGGTCTTAGTGGAGGGGCGAGAGATCGATCGATTGTTTACAGGAGATTTTTTCGGAGAGATCGCTCTTACCGTTTCCGAGAATCGCATTGCCGACGTGTTATCTGTTGGGAGCTCGCTCACGAAGGTGGATGTAAGGTGAATGAAGACAGCCAGAGGGGCTCAGCTCGTTTCCTCACCTTTCTTGCCTGCAGAAGTGTGACGGAAGAGACGGCGACAGGGGACACGGAATTGTTTCAACTCTTGCGCTCGGATTTTGAGGACATCATGCTCAAGTTCCCCGTTCTAAAGAGTCGACTGGCGAGCATCGGGCTGGTGAGGCACTATCGAGGGAGATAAAGTTGAGTTTGATGTTTGTCTTGTACAGGCTCGCGTCAAACGACAAGCAAAGATCGTGAAGATGGTTTCCTCCGAAATGCAACAAGATGAAATTGATAACTCAATGCCCGCTGGGACGTGAGTCTTACCAATGTCAGTGTTCAAGTTTTACACTTGTCCTGCTTTCAGAAAGTCAGCCGGTCAAGGGGCGAGTAAGAAAGACACGATCGTAGGGAGACGGAAGGGATCAATATCCGATTTCTTACAAAAGATCTTATGCATAAGCGATACAGTAAAACAGTAGCCTGACTTTGCATACACCCCATTCAGAAAGGAGGAAGACCATCGCCAAGGAACCAAGGAACAACTTCACAGCATGAACGAGACAACAACTCCGCTTGTATCAGCTCCCCCTGCTTCTGCTCCTCCTCCCCTTTCTCTTCATGACCTTTCGCTCGGATCATCCTATCCTCGTCCTCTGAACCATCGTCGCGCCGCAAGCATGAGCTGGCTCTCCACAAACTCCCACCCCCACCCCTGTCTTTTCATCATATATCTACTAATACCCCTACTTTTCAAGTTTTTACCACCCCCTTTGCAGGACCCACCTCTCTTATCCAATGTGACCAGTCGGTTACTGCCAACAGTGCAGACTATGGCGGGAAGCGAGGGAGGGGAAGGGGAAAGCAAGATCAGAAGCAGAAGCAGGAGGGGCAGGGGCAGGGGCAGGGGCAGGGGCAGGGGCAGGGGCAGGGGCAGGGGCAGGAGCAGGAGCAGGAGCGAGAAGGGGAAGGAGCGATTGCCCGAACTTTTCTTACATCCCCACTACTCACAGTTGTTTCTTCAGCAGACATGCAGGAATCGACGGAGTTTGTGAGCTGACACAAAGGATCGATATGAAATACTTTGTTGGCATTTTCTTGCTCCTGTCCCTTCTCGAGGGCGCGAGAGCGAAGGATTGGGCAGAGCACTGGTGCGAAATCAATGACTGCTCAGGGGTGAAGGCTTCAACCAAGGAGGCAGAGGCAGCGGAGGCATTTGCTGTAGAAGTGAGAATAGCAACGCGGCGGTACCATGCTACAGGAGAGATCCGAGCGATCAAGTCAGATGCCATGCGCACCGCCTACTGGCAGTATGATGGACCTGTGCTTGATCACCCTGGTGATCCTCCCCTCTTTCGATCCCTCCTCTTACCTCTGCTTGTTTCACCAGCTTTCCCCGGTGTAGCGAACGAGCATGCGGAGAGAGCCGAGAGGAGAAACGAAGCTGCTGCGATAGCGATGCGACGCATGGTAAAGGAGAGGGAAGCGCTCGGTGCTGATTTCCGCCCTGAAAAGGGATTCCTCCCCATGGAATCTCCTGAGGCAAAAGCCTTGCATGCTGTAGAGGAAGAGCACGCAGCAGTTGCTGTTGCCAAGGCAAGGTTCAAACACCTGGAGGAGGAGATGAGGGTGCCATGTCAGTACGACATTGGACGAGAGAAGGGAACGCTGTCAAGGTGATTTTCTTCTTTCACGTAACACACAAACCGAGACTTCAATATGATGGATGGCTTCAGGTTGACTACCTTCCCTTCGAACATGCAAGGGTGTGCCGCAGGTTCCGTCTGGAAGGTCACAGATGATGGAGAGGTAGCAGGGCTAGTAGGTTTACACAGAGTTTGATAGTGAATGGGCAGAAATTCAACGACGCTGAAAATCCCTTTCACCGGACTGTTTTCTGGTCAGCGTCAGTGTGGAAGAAGACGAATGGGACCCACAGGTCCTTCAAACGGTTTTTCGTCATGGTGAGTGATTTTGTTTGTGTGCAGGGAGTGGTTTGAAGACATATATCAGCTGCCAGAGGTAAGTGCCTCACAGTGTCAGAGCTCGTAACAAGTCATACCTTCCCAGGGCCACTTTGGACCGCATTCTTGGAGGCAGATCGAAGCGAAACGGATTCTCCCTTACAAAGTGGCGGCGCCTCCTCCTTGTGCGCCGGGTTATGGAGGAGCGGAATGCAAGAGGGAGCCAGGCGCAGGAGCAGATTATGTGGACGAGGAAGAAACGCTTCCGCCATGGGTCAACAAGAAGTCTGTGAAAGCTCTAACCCGATACTGGAAGCGACACATAAGGCGTAATGCCGCCATCTCAGGGAGCTCCACGGAACCCGAGAAGATAGCTGGCGGTGCTAACACGTTCAACAAGAGGAAGAACAAATCCAAGAAGACGTCAAGAATAGGGGAGAAGGGCGACAAGGACGGGGGAAAAAGAGGAATTGGTGCAGAGCAGGCGCCGGACCTTGAGGAGGAGAAGGGGAAGAAGACGAATTCGGGTGGTGACAAGAAGGAGGAGAGTCAAATCCCCTTGCTCAGCGGAGTGGAGAAGATCGATTGGGATCTGAGCTCGGATGGCGACGAGAGTATGGAAGTGGTCGGGAATGAGGAGGATCGCTGGGTCCCGAATCCTCATGCGAGTGCTAGCGGCCCCTGGTATGGAGGATGGTGGGTGGGAATCTACGGCAAGAACCTGGGCAAGGGGCACGGGGATCTTGAAAAGGTCCTGATTGGAGACGTTCGATGCCGCAGAGAAGTTTGGCTCTCTCAGTCTTCAGTAGCCTGCATGATTCCCAAGGGGATGGGGCTGGAGCAGACGGTCACTGTGATGATGAAGAACAATCAGCAGGCTGATCTGCCAGCAAAGTTCTCCTACGAGCCGCCAGAGATCTTGTCGTATCACCCGAGAAACGGAGCTGTGAGAGGAGGTCAGATGGTGACGATCAACGGAAAGAACTTCGGGCATGTCGACACGTCCCCAGTCATCTACCTTGCTGGCAGGATCTGCATCGAGTCCTTCTGGGTCAAGGACAGCCAGGTGCTCTGTCGCGCTCCTCCAGGCGCAGGAGGGCATGCGTATCTCCACACCGTCGACGTGCAGTTGCACGATGCGGTGCACGTGCAAGACATGCCGCGGAAGCTGAAGCATGCGGCCAGGGCGGTGAAGGATAAGATCGCAGAGTCTGTCTCGCAGAAGCCTGACCTTGTGGTGGAGCTGATCAACTCTGGTTCTTCCACGCAGACATCGGCTACTTCGACTGACGTCTCAGTCGTCGTGGGGGATAGCGCGATTGCGGAAGTGCTAGGGCCGAGGAGAAAGGTGAGCTCATTGACACGTGAAGAAAGGTTGCAAGCGGAGGAACTTGCCAAGAGAAAGAGAGAATGGAACAACAAGGCAACGGATTTGATGCAGAAACGAGCCCAAGACGCTTCTAAAGAAGAAAGTTCGGCGACAGCTGACTTGATTGGATACATCGAGACCAGTGTCGAGAAGGACGTGCAGGAGTGGGAAAAGCAGAAGAAGGTGAAAGAAGAGAAGATCCGGAAGAAACTTGAGAAACAAGAGGCTCTTGAGAAGCAACGGCAAGAGGAGGAGAAGATCCTTCAAGAGAAACTGCTTGTTGCTAGGAGAGAGCAGGAGAAAGCTCAGACAAAGGTTCAAAAATCCCTCAACAAATTCCAGGAGGCTCAGCGACGAGCCAAGATGAAGAAATTCGAGACCTCCGCGAAATCAGCCTTGGACAGCAACGAGCAAGGAAGGGCAGAGGATGTTCTCAAGATCGCAGCTGATTTGGACCTGCCTTCGTCTCATGACCTCGTGAAGCCTCTGCTGGAGAAAGCAGGCAAGAGGGAGGAGGAGTGGGAGAGTGAAAGAACAAGGGAGGGCACTGGTGCTGCCCCTTCTTCAGCCGCAGCAGAAGCAAAGGAGGAGGAGCGGAAGGAGAAGACTCGAACTCCTCTGGAAGACAAGGGGCTGAAGCAGGAAAGCGGGGGGGGTGAAGGGGGGAGGGCCGATAAAGAGGGGGAGAAGCAAAGAACGTGTGAGGGTTCAGCACAAGAATGCGCAGCCAAGACAGAGGATGAAGACGCACTTCCTGACCTCGACTTGTATGCGGTGAGAGCATCTTGCTGCCTTGTGATGTCTTGGTGACCCGTGAGAGCTTGCAGGAGGATGAGGAAGCACGCAAGAAGAAAGTTAGCAAGAGAAAGAAGAGGAAAACAAAGAGCCGTCGGTGAGCGGCGCTCGGATCCACCACCATAGACACACAGCAACATAGAAACACAACTAGTGAACATCTCTAGAGATCGCGACTAGGTCCGCGAAATGTTCCAAGGCCCTCCTTGCGGCTGTTCACCTGCCGCCTTACCCGGCTTCCTCCTAGCCTGACCCGTGTGTCCTAACCGTGAACACTCTGACTCCTTGCACCTGGAGCCGAAGTAGTTTTCACTCAGTGAAATGTAGGAGCTGGTGGAGCAGTGCTGGTGGAGCTGGCAGCCCGAGACTCTGGTCTGCCGGCATCGCGGTCAACCTTTCTAGTAGCGCTATGGCGCGAAGGGAGTCGGGTATAGGCGAGGGGCGATGTGGCGGGAGGGATGGGATGGGATGACAGCAGGAAGAGCTGTGTACTTAAGATGAAGGCGAAGATGGGAAGATGGAGAGAAGAGAGGAGCAGGAGAACATGACCTGGTTCTGATGGTGCAGTTCGCTGCATGCTGAAGCAGGGGTCAAAGTTCTCGTTGTGCCTCCTCCTCCTCCTCCTCCTCCTCCTCCTCGTCATCCTCAGCCGTGGGTCGGCCCCTGACGATACTTCTCACTTGAAAGCCTCTGAAGACCTCCAAGTCGCTGAGAGGTTCTATCAACGTGAAGTTTCCCTCAACCCACAAAGTGCCGACGCATGGCACGGACTGTCAGTAGTTCTCCGGCGGATGGAGGACATAGACGGTGCTGTGTTGGCCATGCACGGGTGAGTTTCCCTTGCTCTCTTGTAGTGTGGTATATGAACTGACTCTAGAGCAGAGCCGTCCTGATCGACCCATCAGCGACTCTTGTGAGGGAGTTGGGACTGCTGCTGCGGTTGCAAAGCAGGGAGCAGGAGGGGATAACGGCGCTGGAGCGATCGATCACGCTAGGAGCAATCTCTTCGACAACGTTGCTCTTGATCGGAAGGTTCAGACACGCTTCGGGTGACTTGGAGTCTGCGATCAGGACCATCAGACTCTCCATGAGGACCATGGACGTCGCCCTTCGTGGAGGGCACGCGGCAGCCCTGGCGATGGTCTTGCTGGATGCAGGCGACCTTGTTGGTGCACGAGATGCTTTCCATGCAGCGTCCTCTGAGCGACTTCTTGTGCGGGTGGGTGAGAGGACGTGGACCAATCCCTTCATGGGTATCAGATGGCCTCCAGTAGTGCTACAAGGGAGGAGGATTGGGGTGGGAGAGGGCAGTAGAACTCTCCTCACCCTGTGCGATCAAGGCAATCAGAGTGAGAGGGAGGAAGCTGCGAACCTGCTGCACCAAGAGCTTTCCTTGCTGCAGTACCCTGACAGGCATCGATGTTCCAGCTTGCCACAGGTCAACAAGTGTCCTCGCGTCGCTTTCGGGTCTGACCGGCTCCTGCAGCTTGTCTACGTCCTGTCGGGAGCCAAAGACGGAGTTGGGTTGGGATGTGAATTCCATGGTATGGTGCTTGCTCTGGCTGAAGCCTACAGGAAGAACAGAACCCTAGTGCTGTCGCCATCGCCATGGTGGCTGGCAGGAACAAGGGAACAAACCGACTCGTGGCCCTGTGAAGACTCTGCTCGACTTGACACCAGTGGTTTCACTTGCTTCTTTCAGCCAATATCTACGTCCTCTCTTCCTGAGATCCTTCTCTTTCCCTGATCTTCCCTTAGATGTCGTTTTGGAGACTCCCCAGACTATGAGGAGTTCACACCAGGGAGACAGGAGTACTCGCCTGCGTCCAAGTTCTGGATTCCTTCAAAGTTTCAGTCCCATGGACTTCTCTGGTGGAGATCAATGGTAAAACGGCTCCTACTGCCCTTCATGTTGGACCAACCTCTGATCGACCTGACAACACAGCTGTCAAGGTTCCTCTTCAGGCCACAAGAGTCTCTCCAACATCCTCCCCTTCCCAACAACCTTGGACATATCGGCATTCACATCAGGAAAGGAGACAAGGTCTCCGAGGTCTGTAAACCCCTTAATGGCCCTCCCCTCTGATTCTCCGGCTCACCTGGCCCCTGCCAGGTGCCTGTGCAGCCAATCGGCTCTTACGTGCAGGCTACGTTGCAAGTTCTGCAAACCTTGGAGGTCTCGTTGCCCCCGCTCCTTGTAGTGAGCGATGGGTCTGCTGCTCTTCGACAGTTCTCCCAGCACATGCGCGAGGTAGCGGATGTTGAAATCCTTGCCGATGATCTGCCGCAAGCTCCCAACTTGCCAACAGGGAGGAGCGGAAAGCTCGCCATCGACTTCCCTGTATCCTCCGCAGGCTCCTCTCTTCCCGCCTCTGAAGGTCCATGCAGGAGACGCGGGTTGCTGACATGACCCGGAAAGCCGTTCGAGACGTTTGGCTCCTATCGCATAGCAAGGCGCTCGTGCTGACCATGACCTCTAACTTCGGGCGACTGGCCTATGTAGACTCAACTGCCACTTACTGCAGTGTTGACACGACTTGTACAGGAACTTGCGTTTGCGCTCAGAGGAGGATGCCCCCCCCTTACAGTCACCCTTGACGTCTTGTGGCATGACCCGCACTAGAGTAACAAGGTCTACGGTACCATAATGGGCCGCTCTTGCGGCAGTGCTCTCAAGCTTTCAAGCCGCTCTTCCTCAGTCCTCCTCAGGCTTGGAGTCCCGGAGTCCTCCTCCTCCTCTGTCCTTGTTAGATTGCTCAGTTTGTCACTGGGGATATTATCATCTCTTTCACCCCACTGCTTGCCGATCACTGAGATCACTGAGATTCTCCGTGAGACTGTCGGACTCGAGTCAAGAGGCAACACCGTGGCACCGGCGTTCAGTATATTGTTGTAACGGTATGTAACGTCCATTTTTGTTACAAAACGTTACAGTCCGTTATTCCCGCATGTGCAGGAGGTAGACCATTTTCAAATGGACTCAGTGACTTTGAAAATGTTTGTTAGAAAGTGACCAAAATATTCGGCGAGACCCAAATCTTGTGTGGCCCGAAAGCTTCCATGATGGTTTGAGCGCGTGATGGGAAGGAGGGAAGAAGGAAGCAAGAGGATAGAGACGGGAGACGAGAACAACACCTCATCCTACGATCAGGATCATGCCCTCCTGTTCCTTCCGTCTTTCCTTGCTGATGTTAGCTGTGTCTTTCCCTCTTGTGACCTAGACGCACACTTATTGGCCCACCCGACTATACTTGTTTCTTGTGCAGTCCATGCGAAGTATCATGGCATCGTTTGTAGGTTTCAAGAGCACACCATTTAGATCATAGCAGACAGAATGCGATGCCGTTGAATTTGTCTAATGCCCTTTCTCCTCGTCAACATACCAGACTGACTCGGTTTACAAGATTTCTCACCTTCCCTCGAAGATTTGCAGGGAGTAGTGAGGGAGGGCCTTACGAGGTCCACGTGACTCAGCCATCCTTGAGGATGATTCCTCTCTTTGTCCCCCTGGCTGAAGCCCAGCATATGAAGCCCCAGGACTATATCAACAGGGGCAGGTGGGACATGCTTCTACCGAGGTAGAAGGAGTCCGCAAGGTAACTTTGCGCAGGGCACTTGCCGATCAAGACAAGCATGAGGAGGCGATTCTTTGCTACGAAGTATTGCCATACATATGATGGGAGAGGGCGATGACTGACTCGATCATAAGGCCGCGATTTCACGGATGACTTCCTTGGCGGACTCCCCAGTGGTTTCGGAGAGCTCGCAGGTTACTGTAGATCTCGATCAGGCTGGTCCTCAAGGTCCCTCCAGGCTCTGTCTACTCCTCCTCCTACGCCGCAAGACGAAGTGAACGTTGACATGGTAGACGTATCTCTCGATTGCCAGTCACACTTCTCACATGGTCTCTAGGTGAGCGCTACCCTAGGAAAAGCCATTTCGCTCGGCAAGCTGGGCAGAAACCCAGCAGCGACAGAGGTTTCTTCATGACAACGTTGGCAGTTAGCAGGACTCTTACATTCCTGAACTCCAGGCCATGGAAGCGGCTCTTGAGCTCGATCCGAGGAACACAACCACTCTGAGTTACCTTGGACTTCTACGGGTGATCGTCTTGTGCGGGGAGGGTCAGGAATCATGGAAGAGCTTGCAGATCAGGGAGAAGAAGTTCAATGAGGGAATCGAATGGTGCCGTCATATGTGATCTCAAAAACCTTGCTTGCATGACTTGCACTGCAGCTACCGGGAGGCCCTGTCGATAGACCCGAATTGTACCATTGCGGCGGAGGTATGGAGTTGCTTCTCGATTGTGTGAGGAAGCTGAGGATTTTTGAAGGGATTGGCAACGGCGCTGACAGATGAAGGGACAAGACTGAAACTCCTCGGGCAGGTTTTGAGCATTTCCGCTTGTCGATCATATCTGGTTTGAGGGCGTTTCCGTCTGTTTAGGGAGATGCGTCGTACCTCAAGTACAAAGAAGCTTCACAGATCTGCCCATGTATGCTCTCTGATCTTCTGAGATTTGCCGCCTCGTACTCACTGAAATGTTTGAAGGCTATGCGCCAAGTCATTACAACCTAGGTTGCCGCTGCTTGAATGATCCTGTTACGTTCACTGAAACATCCTGCTCCAAAGGGATCGTGTTGGCAGAAAGAGGCCTGGTCGACGAAGCTATACAGGTATGAGAGAAACCATGATGCAACATGGAATGGTGTTGAAGTATTTCTCCGCAGGAGTACAAGAGGGCGCTAGAATGCTGTCCGAGATATGCCGGTGAGATGCAATGGTGTTCTGACTGGCCAAGTTCACCGTCTGTTCAACGCAGAAGCGCACAACAACATCGGGGTTCTCCTCAAGGGGAGGAACCAGATTCAAGAGGCGATCGAGTCGTTCAAGGCTTGTCTCGAGGTCTGTGACCTTTCTTCTCAATTTGGCCTGACGTCATCGACCAGCTCAATCCAAATTTTCAGCTTGCACTGCAAAACATCTCACTTGCTCTCTCTGACCTCGGGACTGGTGATCATTTGCCTCTGAATCTCTTTTGACGTCTGAAACCTCGTCCAATCTCAGTTGTCAAATCTCAAGGAATGATCGATGATGCCATCAACTTCTACAAACAGGTAGAGCACGTTTTCATTGCCAGTTGGTTTGATATCTCGGTTTTCAGGCACTGCTCTACAACCCCAAGAGTGCTGACGCCATGTACAACCTCGGGGTTGCATACATAGAGAAGAATGAGCCGGAGAAAGCCATCATCTGCTACGAGCTCACTACTCAGATGAACCCCAGATGCGCGGAAGCATACAACAACCTCGGAGTAAGGCGATTCTTGATCTCTGACATCTCCATGACTCTCCTCCGTTGACTTCCTTGTGTTTTCAGGTCATCTACAAGGATTTTGACAACCTTCCCCGTGCTCTTCAGTGCTACGAGTCCGCTCTCCGAGTCAAACCAGCGTTCCCGGAGGCTCTCAACAACATGGGTGTCGTCTTCACCATGATGTGCCAGGTGCGATGAACCATTTGCATCTACCCTCCGCCTCCTCTCGCTCCTCCATGCATTTCTCAACATGATCTCCTCCTCGCGTCCTGCCATCCAGTCAGCTGTGAGCTGACCAGCTGCGCTGCCAGCCGGAAGACGCCTTCGCATACTTCAACGCGGCCTTGCAAGTGTATCCCAACTACTCGGCGGCTTACACCAACCTTGGTCAGCCATCCTCTCCTGTTACGACTTTCCTCACTAGTGCCTACAGGAAAATTCTTCCAGGACTCTGGAGATGCCGAGAAAGCTATCCACTACTACGAGAAAAGCCTCGAGATCTACTCTGCCGCCCCAAACTCAGCCCACAACAGGTCCGCACTGAACTTTCCGAGTGCGCAGGAACTTGGCTGACTGGCCCCGATGGCTTCTGCAGACTGCTGGCCCTGAACTATTCGGTGACGAGGAGCCGGGACGAGATCTCAGCGGCGCACGAGCAGTGGGGGAGGGAGATTCGGTTGCAGGCAGGGCCGAAGAAGAACAGCTGGAAGAATGTGAAGAAGGTGGAGAGGCAGATCAAGGTCGGATACATCTCCCCGGACTTCAACAAGCACTCGGTCGCCTACTTCTTCGAGGCGGCGCTGAGGTGCAGGAGCAGAGAAAACTTTCACGTCACTTGCTACTACGCCGCGACCAAGGAGGACGTGATGACGAGGAGGCTGCGCGAGATGTCCGACTCGTGGGTGAATATTGCCAGCAAGCCTCCAGCTGTGGTACGACTGTTCTGGAGGACAGGGGGGGGGGGGTTGGGGAGGGAGGAGGGAAGGGGGAGGGAGGGAGAGGAGGGAGGAAAGGGGCAGAGGAGGGTGGGAGAGGAGGGTGGGAGAGGAGGGATAGAGGAGGTGGAGGGAGGAGTGGCAAGAACACTCAGCTGAGCTGCTTGCAGGTCGCGCAAATGATCGAGGCTGATCAGATTGACATTCTCGTTGAGCTCTCGGGTCACACAGCTTCCAACCGCCTCGATGTCCTCGCACTCCATCCAGCTCCAGTCCAGGTGCCTGCCCTCCATGGCTCGCTCGTTCTCCCTCCTCCTGCCTCCTTCCTTGATCTCCCCGTCATGCACCTCACTATCTCCGTCCCTCATCGTCTTCCACACATCCCTTGCTCCTCGCCCTCCAGTGCTGAATCTTCTCTCGTCAGGTCTCTTGGATCGGGTATCCCAACACGACAGGCCTGGACACCATCGACTACAGGTTCACAGACGACAAGGCAGACCCTCTGGACACGACCCAGAAGTTCACCGTAAGACCGCGTTCCTCCCTCCTCCCTGTCCTTCTCAGCTTCCTTTCCTCACTGTTAGGGCCTTCCCCGTATCTCTGCCCCTTTCTCATCGCTTCTCTCTCCTCCTCCTTCCTCCCATTCCTGAGAAATGAAGCAGGAGGAGCTTGTCCGGCTTCCCGACTCTTTCCTCTGCTACACCCCAGCAGAGGAAGCGGGACCCGTTGCCCCACCCCCCTGCGAGGCCCTGCACTACGTCACTTTTGGAAGCTTCAACAACGTAGCAAAGGTATTTCCAACTCCTCCCTCCTCCCTCCTGCATCTCTTCTCCCTCCCACTTCTCTCCTCCCCTTCTTCAAACTTCTGCTCTACTGCTCTCCATTTCCCCTCATTTTCTCCTCCTCCTCCTCCTCCCCATTCCTTTCCTCTGCTACTGCTCTCCCTTCCTCCTCTCCACCTTCCTCCTCTCATCTCACTTCCCCATCCTACCTCTCCCGCTCCTTCAGCCATCTCATTTGGTTCCTTTGCAGATGAATGGCGGTGTTGTCAACCTATGGGGGAAAATTCTTGCGTCTCTGCCAGATTCCCGGCTTCTCCTCAAGTCACGAGCCTTCGCTGCAAGTCAAGTCAGAGAGAGTTGTGTCTCAGCTCTATCAGAGTTCGGCGTCTCCAGGTCGATCCTCCCGAGAAACTCCTCCTCCTCC